AGCCCCAAAAGTTAGCATCCCTTTCGGGTCGCATCATACAAACTACCTACTAAGGTCTAAGCTAACCGAAGTCAACTCTAACCCCTTCACTAGTTTGTATTGGCTTATGAAAATAGAATGGTTTTCGGACAAAGTGATCAACAGATCAACCATTGGAAAAGTCTAAGAAAATTTGTGGAAAAAAAAATTTTCCATCCTAGAGAAAGGATGACTCTTAGTCCAGGAATACAAACTTTCAAGACTCAACCAACTTCCTCCTACTAACAACTTCACATAGGTTCACCTCAACATAAATTCTCATGACCCATAGTATGCTTAAGTCTCGAACATCTTTTTGCCCATACTTTCGACATCCAACATCGATATCCGTAAAAATGCAAATGGAATATCCAAGGCTTGATCACAAAGACCACATCTTCAAATATCCACATTGCACTAACACTCTTCTTCAACCACCTTCAAGATCCAATGTGAAGCTAAAACACTAACAAGAAAAATGACATGAAAAATCAAGCTCTAAGGAAAATTCCTCATCACTCGAATCAACAATGCCACTTCCACTAACACAAGTGTTAGCGATATCAATACTTTAACTACACACCTTTTCCATCCAACAATTTACTCCAAGTGTTAACGGATAAACCAACAAGCCATAGCAAATGAATGCTATAACCCTTTTCCAACACCTTACGGGAAAATCCTCAAGGAACAAGGAATTAACTTAAATTTAGCATAATGGACCACCATTGAGAATCCAGTCAAAGTTACTACAATGTTACTTCGTGCAAGTAGACTAGCCCCACCATCAACCACTTTGGGGTTGATCATCATTTAACCAAGTAACTTCGTAAACACATTGCTCACTATCACATGGATATGATGTAAGTATCACAATGACTTGATCATCAATTGAGCAACACCACGAGCAATGCCAATGTCATTACTTCAAAGGTTTATGTGAGTATCAAGTGCCAACTCAATTCGACAAAATGCAACATAAATGCCACACTCCACCAATAGAGATTTACAACACCCAACACCACTAACTTTTGTTCACAACATGGATAAGCACATGCCACTCTTTTTCCGACCAAACTCAAAACTAATCCAACACCAAGCTACTCAAGGAACAATAGCAAGGTTCCCCGGAAAAGAATTGAACATTGCAACCCAAATCTTTCAATAGCAAGCCTAGACAAAATGGTATAGCGCTTCACCGCTATCCATCCCATAACTCACCATTTGTAAGACTATCATTTCCAACATGCATCAAGGTAGGGACTCTTGATTGCATACTATGAACACGAGCAATGAGTCACACCTCGTTGCAAACCATCTCTCTAAGAAGAGAAGACGATTTATGTGTTTGACTCTTCGTCCCCGATGACTCTCTTTTCGGTCTCATCTTTGACTAAACCTCAAGCTTGCGTTCGCACTGCCTTCTGTCCAATCCAAGAAAAGTTTATGAGAGAGCATGGCAATGACTACTTGAACCAATAGACTAATCCCTATAGTCTTGATTAATCCACTTGTAATCATGCCTAGGAAGGATCCACTAGTACCATGCTAAAAAGCTATAGACCAGCCTATTTGCCACTCATAGCAAACTCAGGGAAGGTTTTCTTTCACCCACGGTACATGGAACAACTCATGGAACCACTGATAAGCTAACATTAATCCTGCCAACTCAAAGTGTAACCTCGAGTTGCTAATGTGCCTCACACACGAGCCCAAGTGTAAACTTGTGCTAACAAAGCATCTTAAATCCATCCTATGAGCCCAAGAGCACGCTCACATTATTAGGTACAAAAGGTAACCATATCCATACCCAATGAACAATTGCAAACCCTTTACACCAAACATGTACCCACTCGGATCATTGTTTTCATCTCTGCGTATGCAACGAGACTAGTTGCCCAATCTCATTGAATAGTACTCGCTGAGACTCATTCTCTGATACCAAATGTAGCGCACGTGGTTTTGACCCTTTATCCTATGGTGATTTACCATAGGATAACACCACGAAGCGGAACCTAAACCCTCTTTGTGCCACGTGACAGATGCCACATGTCACATGGCACGTGTCCATGCCACGTGTCCATAGGAACCCGAGGTTCAGGGCCTTGGGCCACTGAACGAAGGAACGGTGCCAAACTCCCAAGCGTGGAGCCAAGGAGTGATGAAACCGAACCACGGAGCAACTCCTGAGCATAAAGCCCAAGGAGCGAAGGGACAGGAGCCCGGAGCGACTTGGAACAGTCCTGGAGCAACCAGCATCCCAATGCCAGGACCAGCACGCAAAACGGAGCCAAACGGAGTCTAGCGCTATTTCGGCATACCGGTGGCCTAACGTGAGGATATAGGTACTCCACCAACTAGCATGGAAAGGAACTTGGGCTTAGACCCAAGCCGGATGCAGAACAAGGACAGGCACGCAAGCGGGAGCTAGACTATGCCTCAGGTTGGTCGGCCATGCCCGACCTACCCACTATCCCTACTATACATTTGGAACCCCCCACAGCCCCCCCCCCCCCCTCCCCTTGAGGAACACACGCTTTGGGCTTTCACCCCAAGCCTCCCTTAGTATCAGGAGTTAGTTTCTGGGACAAGCTCGAAACTTACTAAATATGGAATGCCCCTAGATTGCGAATTTGGACATGGGACGAACACCATTGTGTTCAGGACGATATCTACATTCCATAGATATGCCAAATGAGCAAATCTGGACACTTTCCATAAATAGCATTTGGGACCAAAATGAGACTAACACAAAGGGCATGATAGCGAGGGTGTTTGACAGACACGGTAAACTATCATGTAGCGATATTGAGGGACCAATCTCAATACGCAAGGGTTCTTGTTAAGCCAGTGCAAGACAAAGCAAAAGAGAACTAACAAGCCGGGCCAAGTATGCTCAGCTAAATAGACACTTAGGAATTCCTTCCTTATGCTCATCCGGCCAAGTATAGATGCAAAGTCCAGTTTACTAACACTTGAACAAGAGGGGCTAATAAAGGAAACCAGCAATACCGACCTCCTGCCATCGTGGCAGTAAGGTAAGAGTGTCCGTAAGGACTAGTCGATAGGTAACTTTCGATACCCGAAGTCACATTCGCGACAATATACAACATTATATATCTCCACTAGGAGTTCTTTAATGTCCTCAAAAGATGTACTTTTGCAAAGATTTGGAAGGCTTATTACACTAGATTGTTCAATAACAATAACCCTTGACTCGAAGAATACTCCTAAAAATTTAGCTATGGTTGATTGTTTTCACTAGTAGCTTAGGTCAACACAATTACCAAAAGAAGAGATGAAGGAAAAATTGCCATGAAATGCTCTCTATAGTCTTTTTTTAGAGGCAAAAGCAAGGCTGAAGAAGATGAATAAACATGGAAACCACTACTACTACTATGGCAACACATCCAAGAATGTGTACCTCCCACCAAGCAAGAGCGGGGAGGGGGGGGGGGGGGATTAAGGTGATAATGATAAGGATCTTAATGAGGATTTTAATGAACTTGATGAGCATGTTAAAACCAAACTTTAAAAGACTGAGTAATTTAAACCCTATTGATAAACTCTTTGTGGGTTGGGAATGGCATAAATGTTATTTTGTGCTTTCACTATCAAGGCTATCAATGAAGTAGGATTTGTTTTGATTTGAATCTTTCGTTAAAACACTTTTCAATATAGCCCTCAAGCATCATTTTCCCTTACTGAAAATATCAAAATTCTATGTGCACATTCTCCATATTATAGTGAGGGGCAAAACATAAAAAAAAAAAAAAACAATCTCAAACTCATCCATAGTAAATAATGACTATTTAGTATTTGTAACATAAATCTCCTCAAGTTAATTCCACTATCAAAAACCTATATTATACAAAACCATTAGAACAACCATTAAACCCTTTATATCTCTTTAATAACCAACTTTTTCACATTGGCTAGCCAAGCTAGATACTTGTTCATATTGCTATCATAAAAGAAATGTTAGAATATTAAGTATTCATATTCGTGATATTAAAGCATCAACATCTTCAACCTTGAGCATCTCAACACACCCACTCATCATTATGCTATGCATCTCTTGCATTTCTTGTTTATAACTCATGAACAATATTATGGATAGTTTAAACTTTAACAACTCTATACCATTAGCACCACTAAGATTTTAATGTTCATCTTGATTGCCACCAACTCCTTTTATACTAATGCTATGACCTAACTTTATATAATAAAGATAAAGAGGCCTAACTATAAAAGGGTAGCTCAAATTTGCCTCATCCCGTGCACATGTGTATGTATAACTATTGTTATAAAGAATGAAAATTAGTTTTACCACACAATGCAAATATAGATGGCAATGTGTGGTAACAGGTTGAGCAATAGAAAATAAACTCAAATCTGTATTAACCAACATGAAGAAAATAATATAAAACCGTTTATTATAAAAACAAGTTTGCCATAGTATTAGCCTCAAGAGCTACCTCAAAATTAGAGTAAGTTAAATTAAATCTATGCCCTAGAGCTTATCTTTTAACTCATGTGACCATGTGGTCAAAGCTAACAACAATGTAAAATTAAAATAAATTGCTAATAAGTTTGTTAAGAAGGTAGGTGGGCTGTTAAAATCCTTCTTGATGTATTGGATGAATAAGGCAATATAAAGGACACAATAACAAGATTAATGGAAGCTTTGAAACATCAAGAAGATTACAAGAATAGGCAAAGAATCACTCTTTTCCATGTGTTAGATTTCTAATGCTTTATTTCTTAGCACTAGTGATTACTCAATAGTGCTTAGCCATGTGACAAATTCTTATTACATGGTAATTGGCTTACAAAAAAATTAGCACAAAAGCATTTATTTAAGGTGTAAAATTTTAATCTTTAACCAAAGAATATCTAAAATATATCCTACAGATTTCTATGGGTAGCAAACAATGAATCCAGACGATGGGGAAACTCCAGAAATTTCTAGGCAAGCAGAAAGCAGGTAAATTGTAAATCTAGTATAACGTTTGTGAAACAAATAAGTGCAGTATGAATACCTGCATCTGGACCTTAGATCCAACTCCGTCTAAACTATCACCCTTTTGTCAGGCATCGTGAGAGAGTGGCCTTCACAAAGGTAGTTCTCAGTCTCTCGAAATAAACTATCACCCTTTTGACGTGCGCCTCATGCTCAGGCATCGTGAGAGAGTGGCCTTCTCAGTCTCTCGAAACGAATGTGAAGGCTGAAAATCCGGATTCCGGGTTTGATCCTAGCAAGTAACGAGAATTATATTTTACAAAACTGTAAGATAGTGATTCCTCTGGGCTATCCACAGAGTCAAATCCTTTTGAATCCAAGCAGAGTAGCTTGTCGAACCTGGACACTGATCGCTGTCTTCTTTTGTTGGTTTCAAACTGAGCGCTTCCTTTTCGAACGCTTACTTTTGTTGGGAGAGCCTCCATTGCTAGCTGCTCCGTTCCCACTGCTAGCATACAATTCCTCCAACGAGCCCTGTGGAATCCATCGGTGACTAACAGGAACAAAAGAAAGTACGCACCTTCGTGGCCTCGCTATCATCGCTGTCCTCGTCCGAAGAAGACTCGTCCCCGTCGCTAGTCTCTGGATCGGCTTTGCGACTTTCCTCCCCCTCTTTTCTCTCAGACGACGTTGGCGCCTTAGTTGATTCTGCGGCCAATCTTGTTTTCTCTGCTCTCTCGGCTTTTCGTTTCGACTCTGCTGCTTTTAGTTGCCTGAACCTGGAATTACAAACTGCTGTCTAAAAGTGAAACCAAAACGGACGAGTACCTTTCACCCCGTCGGCTTTCTCTTGTTCCTCCTGCCTCTCTTGCTGGTGCTGGTACTACAGTCGCTGCGGGTGGAGATGGAGTAGACCGCTTGGCCTGACCAGCCGAGATTATGTCACCACCGCCACTAGCAACGACAGGCTTACGCCCACCGAGCTTTCGCAGCCACACTTGTTGGCCAGTGCTGAGGATATGTTTGTTAGCCTGCAGGAAAATGAGTAAGTAGAGAGTTCACCACACGGTTCTCTGTACTTAACCAGTATAGACTGAGTCCGGAGGGAACAGAAAGAGCAAAATAGCCGATCATGAGAGGAAGGAACTTCAAAATTAGCTGTGTATTCTTTTGGCTTGGATCAGTCTGCAAAAACAACCCTCGTACGAGTTACGAAGTACAACGAGAAGTAGTATTTCAGTACCTGCGGCGGTTGCATAATCTGCATAGAAGCGTATTGTGATCCAATCAGAAGAACAGGCAGCACTAAGTACGCGATTGTGTCCCCCCATCCCAGGGGAGGATGCCCATCCTAAACAAAAAACGAGTTTGAAAACCAGCTGATTGCTACAAAATTATACCCACCACAAAAGGAAACAGCCAGGAGATACCACTACCGCTTTGACGTGCAGCTATTGTTGTCGGACCTGCCAGAGAAGGTATCCAGAAAAACCCTTCACTCAAGAGGCCCTGAAGAAAATGTAAACAAACAGAGAAAATCACAACCGGAAACTGACCTCATTTGCAACATTTGACAATGCCCTGTACAAGCCAATCCAGACAGGCAAAGTCGCCAAGGTTGGCAAACATCCTGCAAGAACAAAAATGAAGAAAGAAAGAAAAACATCAAGCTCGTGAATTACACTCATTAGAACTTACCAGCAAGAGGATTAACTCCAGCTTGCTTGTAGAGACGAGCTGTCTCCATTTGAATCCTTTCCTGGCCAAACGCAAAGACTCTTTCCTGAGCTAAGAGAGAGAGAGAGAGAAAAAAAACCAGTCACTGAGTACCTGATCTCCAGCATAACGTTGCTGGATGGCTTTCAATTTTGGCTGCAAGTTTTGCATAGATATGGTGGACTCTGCCTGGAAATTCGCAACGCCTTAGTATCTAGCCAGCAACAATCTCTAAGTTCTACCTGTGACTTCGTCAATGGGAACGTCAAAACTTTCACCAAGACTGTGAGTAGAATGATCGCAAACCCGTAGGCATACGGCACTTTGAGCGTTGTAAGACCGTCCTTCAACACCTAAGAGAAAAAACACAAAGGAGTATGATCGATCGAAGCATAGAATTCGCTCGATAGTATGTTCTAACCTTGAGCACCGCTTCCATGACAGTAGTCACGCCAGAGAACCAATCGCTCTGCTGGGCCTGTTGGACGGTCTCACTCGTGCCATCCGTTACAACATCCGTGGCGACAGCGGCATCCGCCACAGTGTAGAGAAATCCCTCCACTCTAGCGAGCGCATTCTGGACTGACTCCGGCGCTTGCGCTAGCAAATCCAATGCCGACTCCAAATCCTCCGGCTGACCTAGGTGCGCACTGACCAGAAATCGCAGCTCCCGCCGGCTCCTCGATCGCCGCAACTTGTAATACACGCTCTTTCGATCCAATTCAGCTCCAAAGAAGGAATTCCTGTGCGAGCAGCAAGAATGCGAGCTCCTTCTGGCAGCGCCGTGGGGAAGAAGCGAATGCGCGGCGCTGGTGGAGGAGACTAGCGTGGCCATTTCCGAAAATCCCGCACTAGGGTTTCATTGCTCTATCCACGTCCCCCACTCGCTGGCACAAACCCTACACTTGTAGATATTCCGGATATTTTCGCGGGGCAGAGGACTCGAACCGAGGTCCACGACGATTTGGGCCATGGGCCAAAACTCACATGCGTACGGTGGTCGAGATGAGGAGTGTGTGGCGAGGCCTGACCACCTTATCGCCAACGCGGTCTCATGGTTTACATTTGCTCGCGGGTAAATTCCATTCAAATGTGATACCAATTTTTATAAGCATTGTGTGGAGATTTTTCACCTTTGGCCCGAGAGGACGATGGCCTCTGCTATAGCTTCTTCCCAATTCCTTGCTGCTGGGAAGGTACGGTATTGTTTTCCCAGAGCTATAGAGCAATTGAGCGGAAATTCTTCTCTAATTTTTGTATTGTCTGTGCGAAAAGATGGAGCTGGCAGAGTTTTCTGGACTTAAGGCCTCGTCCTCAATGCCATTTGCGGCTCGGAATGACGCGACGCTCTTCGACACCGTGAGGCAACAAGTTTCCATTGTCAAGGTATTGTCTCGTACGGATATGATCATGGGAAGAACGAGTTCTTTATTAAACTTTCATGCTTTTGATAGTCTGGTGGAGCAATCAAAGGTGAAACCACCGCAAAGCTCAAAGTTGCCATCAATGGTTTTGGGCGGATTGGTCGCAACTTTCTCCGTTGCTGGCATGGCCGAAAGGATTCCCCCTTGGATGTGATCGCCGTCAACGACAGTGGAGGTGTCAAAAACGTAAGAGAAATCTTAGTGCTGATCGTGTGACTGAAATGTATGATCCATCAGGCTTCACACCTTCTCAAGTACGATTCCATGCTTGGAACTTTCAAGGCCAACGTCAAAGTTGTGGACGACAAGACCATCAGCGTGGATGGCAAGAACATCGCAGTTGTCTCCAGCCGAGATCCTTTGAAACTTCCTTGGGCTGACATGGGAATCGACATTGTGATTGAGGTACCTATAGCAATCTCGCATGAAAAACTTGGTCACAAACTTTTGCGATTGATCACTTTCAAGGGAACTGGAGTTTTTGTCGATGGACCCGGTGCTGGAAAGCACATCCAGGCCGGAGCAAAGAAAGTGATTATTACTGCTCCGGCAAAAGGAACCGACATTCCAACTTACGTCGTGGGCGTTAACGAGGCTGACTACGATCACGAGGTGGCGAACATCGTAAGGTTAGAATCTTCGCTGCTTCTTTGGGGAGTACAATCGATCTTTGGTTTGCAGCAACGCTTCGTGCACGACGAATTGCCTGGCTCCATTCGTTAAAGTCATGGACGAGGAATTCGGTACATTAAGACTAAACTTCATCCAAAACTTTAACTTGATGGCCAACTGTGACCAGGAATTGTTAAGGGGACCATGACAACAACACATTCTTACACAGGAGATCAGGTTAATGATTTCCAAGAAAACGAGAAAGATCTCACCAAGTTCTTGTATTTGTAGAGGCTGCTGGATGCCTCCCACAGGGATTTGCGGCGAGCCCGCGCGGCAGCGCTAAACATCGTCCCGACGAGCACAGGCGCCGCCAAGGCGGTGTCACTGGTTCTTCCGCAGCTCAAGGGCAAGCTCAATGGCATTGCCCTGCGAGTGCCCACTCCAAACGTCTCGGTTGTTGACCTGGTGGTCAACGTTGACAAGAAGGGCATGACGGCCGAGGACGTCAACGCTGCCTTCCGGAAGGCCGCCGACGGCCCCCTCAAGGGCATCCTGGCCGTCTGTGACATCCCGCTGGTCTCCGTTGACTTCCGCTGCTCCGATGTGTCATCGACCGTTGACGCGTCGCTGACCATGGTCATGGGCGACGACATGGTCAAGGTGGTCGCTTGGTATGACAACGAGTGGGGATACAGGTGAGCAACCATTTCTTTTCTCTCGAGGTTTTGACTAGCGGTTAATCCTTGTTTTGAAAAGTCAACGTGTGGTTGACTTGGCGCACCTTGTAGCTGAGAAGTGGCCCGGTGGAGCTCCGGCTCCTTCCGGTGATCCTTTGGACGAGTTTTGCAAGACAAACCCGGACACCGATGAGTGCAAAGTCTACGATGCATGAGAGGAAATCTTGGAATGAATTCAATTGGAAGTCTCTACTCTTGTAAGCCTGAAAGAGTTTGGAGCGAGCTGGAGGAGCTTAGAGAGTATGAATGGAGCTCGGAGAGTATGAAGCGTGGAGCTTGGAGAGTATGAAGTGTGGAACTTGGAGCGTGGAGGCGTAGAGCTTGGAGATTGATGCTTTACGAAGAGATCTACGAATATTCGCATTTTCTGTCGAACTTAATGAGCTTAGGGTTTAAATTTGCTAAAAAGAAGGGGCGATGGCGCCCAGCTGGGTGTTTCCAATGCTCCCTCGCGACATTGTGGATCAAGTCGACTATCTTCTCCAGAACTCTTTGCTGCCCATACAGGTGAGCGATCGATCAAAGGTTTTTGTTTTGATTTTCTTTGGGGCGTCTAGGTCGATGGCTTCCGGAAGAGCCACGAGTCGCACAGTTTCTTCGATCGCTTCTCTGTGCTCATTCCTTGCTTCCTTGAACCGGTTCGATGTGAGTAGCCTTCTTTTTTTATCTCGAGCGTGCTTCTCCTAAAGATTTTTGGTTGTCCAGGGGAAGTGATTTTCAGCTGTCAGCATCCATACTGGCCACCGGATGTGATTTTCGCTGCCCACGACTCGGATTTTCAGCCACTTGCCACGAACTCTTCGATTTCCTCCATTTTGAAAGGCTGGGACTCGAAAGATCCTTCCACACTTCTCAGGTTCCTCGTTGAATTGCGGTAAGATCTCTTTTTTTCTCTGATTGTTTAAAAGAGACTTTGGTACGATTTCCATCTTCTAGGAACGAGTATCTTCAGTATCAACGCAAGCGAGTGGAAGAGCTCAAGGATTCTCGTCTCCATTTCGAGGTTAACACACTCGAGAGCATTGAGGTAGCCTTTTATCTTTCTCCTCTTCTTCTTCTTTTGATTCCATGTTTGCGTGTTTCTCTTTTCTTACTTGGACAGGATCTTGAAATGGGACTCGTCACAGATGGAGACAATGTGAGTGAAAAGTCTGCCTTGTTCCTTGTTCTGCTGGATGATAATTGTTCGCAGTTTAACAGGCGCGAGTCATCTTTTCCATTCCACTCCACGAACTGGATCTTTCGAAGCTAGCAAGACAGAGTCGCCTTTTGCTACAGCCGCCTAATACCGGCGTAGTGCTGCAAGTGAGCCTTTCCTCGACTTTCTTTTGTTGGCTCATTGGAAAATTTGCTGGCTCTGGATGAAGGTGTGCTATCCAGTGCAGCGGGAGTTCACTTCTTCGTCAGCTGTTCCTCTGATTAAACTCCACGCTCCAAACGTTCTCAGGGAGGTTTTCAAGGTGGAGGATGTTAGGCTCCCCGCTTGGACGGACAGCATGTAAGCGTTTCTTTCTTTTCCTTGCGTATGTATTGTATCTTAGCTAAAGCTTGTGTTTGATCATTTAGGTGCTTAGCCGAGTACATTCCCAAGTTGCTGGAGTTGCTACAGTCACAAGTAAGCAGAATCTCGGCGGCTGTGGCTGATTTGGTTAAGTGTCCTGTGTAGATAATCGATGCTTGCGCGTCTCTGACGCTCAGGAGAAATTTCATAGAAGCATTGGTTCCGGTCTTTGGAAGGCCTCTTGAAGCTGAAACGGTTAGTTGGAGTTGCTTGATTCATACAAAGAGAAGAAGTTACACGAAGTTTTGCAGGATTTTGGCAGAAAGGTTTCCATGATAGCCTCGGCTGGCGTTTTCACCTTCTTGGTAAGCAAATTAAAGTTTGTTTCTTGTTTCGGGCACTGAGACTTTGGTGATGCTTTCTTCTTGAAGATCCACATCTCTCTACCGTTGCAGTTTCCAAAGGTCCAGCCCACCTTGCTGTTGCAAAGCTCACAGGTATCTATGTGTTGTGATGATATCGTTAAGCTAAAGCTTCGTTTCTCAGCACTTCGACTCGCAAGGACGGCCAATCTCTCGAGCATACGAGGATTACCCTTGGAGTCCCCGCTGGGATCCAAGTGAGATGGTGTCCCGGATATGGTGCGTAGTGTCTCATCCATTCTCTTATACCCTTTCGCGCGCTCAATTTTCTTGTCCAGTGACTTCATCACTGAGGAGAATGCTTCTTTCAAGCAGTACTGCAACGAAAGCTTGCAATACCACTAGCCATCTCGCTGGGTCACCTCCTCTAATGACATAGGAAAAGGTTTGCTGCCAAGTTTAGTCCTTAATTCTTTTAGTGAGATCTCGAAACCCATGCACGGGCTATGCTACAGTCTTGGATCCCTCGCATTGCATGAACGTCCAGGCAGCGATCATGGATTGCGAGACGAAGAATTTGTCCCTGCCCAATCCAGATGCGGGGTACTGCTCGCGATGCCACCAGGTTTCAAGAATTGCGGCTATTGATTGGGCCATGTACGGAGGGAATACAACCCTCTTCTTTTGAGGTATGAGTTGGAGCGCTCCATTTCTTTGCTCCTGCAGACGAGTGACATGCATCTTTGATTTCTTTGCCTCTTTCTTCTTTGTTTCTTCCACTTTTCTCTACTTCTCTCTGGGTTGAGTGCTATTGTTTAGCAGGAGCAAGTTCTCCTTGGTAGGGGCTGTACAATTTAAAGGGTTCCTTTACCCGGTTTAATGACTGCATTCCTAGCAGAAGAGTCAAAATGATAGCCTGCCGACTATTTCTATGATTGGAATCTTTGTAAATGCATCTATGTTCGAATGATATTGCCCGCCTTATGTCACTCCTGTGTTCGTCATATGAAGAATGACTCTAGCCTACCCTAGGTGTGTTCAGCTCATCGATTAGAGCCTATCTTCTCGTTCTTTTAAATGATTGAGGATTGCAACAGGCTGGTTGTGAAGTTGACAGAAATGCAATAGCTACCCCATCATTCTACTGCTGCCATGTAAATCAGTTGGACCCATAAATTTAATTTGGAAGAATAAACGCTTTAAGCTTGTGAAGCTAATAATGGGTCCAGGCTTTCAATATTGTTTTGGAGTGGTCGAGCTAGCAAATATATCACTAGCATGTATTCAGGCTCACACATTCTAACTACATTGCCTCTTCTCTCTCTAATCTCTCCTTGTCTCCATCCTCTCTTGCACATCTAAAGAGTGAATATCTAGTTCCTAAGTCACTTTAATTATGACAGCACTAGGTGAGAAAGATCTTCCCATTAGCAACTTTCAGCTAAGGCTGTGGATGAATATTTAGTGAAAGTAGATAGGATGGGAGAGAGCTTCTACTCCTAGCAACAAAACCAATAGTGGCAACAACCCAGGAGCAAACCTATCATGCCTCTTCTTCATGGCAGCCCATCCTAGATTTTATGCAAGTATAGTGCCTAATTGCTTGGTGTGGGTCTCTACTATGCCCACAGTGGCAACAACAGTAGCAGGAGCACCAAGGGCACCCAAGCATCGTCTCTCCTTATACCTTGTGATGTATGCCTGAGGCTAAGCATCTTAGATCATGTTTCCAAGATGTGGCATGGTGATTTGGATGATGCAACATCATCTACAACTACTTCTAGCCAAGAATTGTCACTGCCACATTTTCCTATAGGGAGATGGCAACAAGGCAAAGTGTCATACTCACCCTGAGCTACAATACCGTCAATTCACTCTTTTTCATTTGTCATGGGACCATGTCTTGTAGCTTTTGCGAGTTTTTTTTGCCATTGGGACAGTGTTTGCTAGATGGGGATTTTGTTCTTGAAGCAAATGCCATATGTGGCAATTGTTAATAGTGCTTTGATCTAGGAGAGACCTTCACTGGAGAATACTCTAGTCTTGAAGAAATAGCAGTTTTGAGCTATATTGGCTCTTAAGTGGGGCATGCCACTCTCTAGACACTACAAAGCATATATGCCACAAGCTGGTCAATCTCCCAATTATGTGTGATGCCTTTGTAGGGGAAATGTTGTGGACTGTGATTTCTTAAGCCCCTTGCTGGGAGCTTTCCTAGACCATTGGGAGACCTCTCTACATTGACTTGTTACAAAAAACATTTGTCAAAGGAAGGGATAATAAAAGATAGTTCTTGATACTCTCTTTGCTTGTGTGGGCATAATGATGCCCAACATGCTCCTAGAGCTACTTGAAAGCATCTCTACCACTAACTTCAGCCTTTAGATATAAGGAAATGTCACTAATATTTCCCAAAATGGCAATGTGTCTAAATGATTTGTTCTTCCACACAAACAAGCCAATTTATGCATCCAAGTTTTTACATGTCACTTTCCACTTGAAAACCACCAAAGCCTTAGAGGATAAGAGGCAAACAACTCTAAGCTTTTGTATCTAGACTTTAGAGGGCTACTTATCTATTTGGAGGCCATTAAAGGCTCTTGACTTGGAAGAAATGAGTAAAACCTAGTCAATTTCTCTATAGCACCATTATTTGCCTTGGGATGCAAATAGATCAGTTATATCTTCCAAGCTCTCTTTAGCACCAAATAAGTCTCACTAACTCCCACACTCTAGTTATAATAAAGCTAAAATCCTATGAGCAACTCACGATTATAAGTGTTATGACTCGGCACAAAATGATAAAGATAAAGAAGTCTAGTTTCATCTAGACAACATTACACCTTCTCATCACCCACAACCACACCATTATGAGCCCTTAGGGTACTCTACACTAAATCCATATTATAATATATCCTTTAGTTGACAAATTGATTATGTGGTCAAAGTTAAGGCTTAACAATTCTTCCCCTTCAACAATATTCTTATCCCAAAGATGAATTGCACCAGTTATCACCTTTTTTAGGGAATTCTATTTAAGTTTCTAATCTATTATTCAAAGTCATATACATTAAGGTGTCATTAGGCTCTTCACTCTAAGATAGTACACTTTTCAAATGATTGACATAAAATATCAAATGAATTTTTATTCCAGCTAACAATCACATTTGATAAGCTACTTTATAACACTTTATATAAACTAACATAATTGTGAGAAAATTTGTCACTTTTCTCATTCTGTAAAAGCACTAAAGTGTTCTACCACTCATTTGACATAAAAATCACTTGCATTAAAAAAAAGTCTCCCACATTATATTCTCTAAATTGATGATGTTCATTAGCAACATTCTCCACTATGTTCTAGACTATTTACAAATTCCATATATACACCACTATAATCTCATTAAGGTTTGTAGCAAGATCAATCATTTCTAAATCAAACTTATCCAAATTATCCTTAATCAAATGCAATTCTAACTCTAATGTTGTTTTGGGATACCTTCTAAATATGGTAAAGTAATGATTGTCACTGTGTTGGTTATTGTTATAATTGAATTACATAGAAGATATAAATTCTATTATCTCTACTTTTAGCTAATGCTACAGTATATCATATCTCCATCATTTGATTTACACACTTGATTTACCTATCTATTTAAGGATGATTTCACTTGAGAGTTTTAAGTCACTTGCATAACTTTTATGAAGTTCTTCTAAAATCCACTAGCGAACTTTGAATCCTAATCATTACTAATGTCCTCTAGCAAACTAAAATCAGAGAAAACCTTCTTTAAGTAAATTATAATTAAATAAAGTTTTTCTAAAATCCACTAATGAACTTTGAGTCTCAATCATTAATGATATCCTTTGGCAAACAAAATAAAAAAACACTCTCTAAGTAGACTATAACCAAGTTTGAGGTAGTGAAATCTTTTAAAGAGGTAACAACTACATATACTTCATTAATTCACTATAACCCACATTTACTCAATACCTTTGTATTCATGGTAAATAAGTGATAAAGTATGTAGAGATATTATACTAATAGCTTTGAAGAATAAGCAAAGGTTGCAAAAGCCCTTTTAGCTTCTTCTGTGACACTTTTACTTGTTGATAAAGCTTATATAATTTGTAATATTTGAGGATATTTCTCTAATAAATATTATGTTTTATTTATGTCTTCTTCCCTCTAAAATAATCAGCCTCTAAATAATCATGATAGTAGAATAAAACTAACACGTCTATATGGCTATTATAGTAAAGAATCTCATCCACTAATGCTTCTATCTAAGCTTGCAATGAAACCATCTCAACATCTTGAGTTTGAGCAACTTCAATTGACTACCCAAACTCACTTATCACTTTACTCAAATGATGATAAAATTATATTTATAACTTTGTTATATAAGAAGTATATGATAAAGCATTTGCCATCATATTCATTTTTTCCAAATGATACTTGATAGGAAACTCTCCAAACTCTATGAGTTTGACTATATAATGAGTTTGCCTAGTGTTTAACTCCTTTTATATGAATAAATACACAAAATATTTATAATTCATCAATATCATAGACACTACACAATAAAGATAGTGCCTTTATGTTTGAAAAACATGATGTTTGCTTAATCACTTTTCTATTGTTACAATTGAAAGTAACTCTTCCTCATATATGAAATATCACTGTTCCACAAAATGTAAAGTCTAACTTTTATATATAATAGGTTGTCCTTTTTGCATGAAAACTTCCCCCAATGTATAACCATTCACATCACAAATTACTTTATAAGATTTAAATAGGTTAGTAAGTTGAAGTATTAGAGCTTTGCTCAACAAGAAAATCTCCACAAACTCATATAGATAATGCCTAAACACTTCCATCATCAACCAAACAAATATAGCTAATATATTCATCAATCTAAATGGCATAATTGTGAACTTAAAATGTTTGAAACTCATGTTGAATTTATTTTAGAGATAGATATTATCCATTGTAATCTATTGATATCCACTCCTTATATCAATATTAATAAACACTTGGGTTTCACCAAATTTGTCTAGGATATCATCTATATGTAATATTAACATTTTATCTTTCACCATTTTCTTTTTCAAACACAATAGTTAATACATATTTGCATTAAGTCATCCTTCTTATTTACAAATAAGACTGATGTGCCAAACAAAAACTTACTTAGTTGAATAAATCCAAACTTAAGTAATTCCTTGACTTATTATTTAACATTTTACTCTTCCACATAGCTTAATTGAAATGGATACTAATAGATTTATATCTTCTCTGACTCTAGTGTAATCTCACACTCATAATAAAGGCAATGTATAAGGAAATTCAAATGGAAAAATATTAGCCAACTATAAGTCATAATACTGCCTCTCCCCCACATGTGAATTGGTCTCTGAAGTCATAAATAAATATCAGATAACTCAAAAGTATAAACCCATTTTAAAAATGTAATGAAAGAGCATAATACCTGAAGGTTAAACTCCCTCTCTAAACCATATATCCTTAACACCACTATGTAAGCAAGATAGGCTTTCTTCAACTAGGAATAAAATCCATGCAATGAATGATCATGAGATAAAAAGTCTCCACAATTATGGTTTTGTTAACTAGTGCTTTTAACCCCTTTACACAAATATCAAATATTGTATAAAGTAGCTATACCTTTTACAAAATGCTTTATATTACTAAAATGTGCTCCTTAATAAATTTGCAAAACAAAATTATTATCATAAAATTTGCATTGGACTACCACAAAATATACTCTCAAGCATTAAAACTGATGCACAAGTGTCTTCAGCCTTTGTTTTGTTCCACACACAGTTGAGTTGACAAATAGTGACTAAAATCCTCTTCTTCCAAATAAAACAATCTTCCTCATCATCCTCATGATATAATATTTTTCTTAATATTTAAATTACCATCAATAAAAAATTGACCATTCTTCTTGCTATGTTATTTGTCTTTAGCTTTGGACAATTAGCTTTATAGTATCTAAGCTCGCTAGAATGATAATAACCTTGTTTATAATTCTTCATAAAAAATTTGCTTCTTCAACCCTGAAATAGCCACCATAGATTTGTGATGTTTATTCCCATTTTTGTGCCCATAACAATTCTCAACTGAATGACTATTCAAAGGCTTGTAAGACTTGTGTTTATCATTATTAAGTTGATAAACCATACTCCTCTAAACTCTTTATAAATTGGGAATAACACAAAGTATTGCTTTATGTTCTCACTATGAACACCATCAATGAAGTAAAATTTGTTTTAATTTAGATCTTTTATTAAAACATGGCTAATCAAGAAAATAAGTTTTTCAATGTATTCTTTAAATGTCATTTTCCCTTGCTAAAAATATTGAAGTTTTATGCAAGTTAGTAAAATATAAATGAAAAGCAATCTCAAACTCAAACTCAATTATAATGGTGGTTTATTATTTGCAACTTTGAAACTTTTCAGGCTAATTCCTACATCATGCAAAACCATTGAAATAACCATTTGGAGTTCCTCTAAACCAAACCAAAGTTTTATTTGGAGCACCACCACTTCTAGCCTTGAGTGTTTCAATACACCTACACATTGTAATAATCATGCAATGCAATAACACCAAGAGCTACCAAGATGACAATTGTTAGCATTTGAATCAAACAAAAAAAGTTCCTTTCTAGGTTGTTCATTTACTATTTCTTTCAAGCCTTCAGTCCAAACCCTAAATCACAAAAACAAACTTGTGTTTGTACAGAAATGTGCGTATACTCGTCAAATCATTGGCGTGGCACCAGACATATACTGTGCCTTCTAGGAAAATTTGCTCGAAAAGACTCTTAACCTTGAACTTTCCACCTACTCCTAAGCATTTTGGTCAATTTATAATCTAATGAAGAAGTGTGGAATGATTTTAGCTGGCATATGCTAGGAATTCCAGTCTTGGGGAATGGTTTGTTTTTTTTTTTGCTGTTTCTTTCAGCAATCTTCTTTGAGTTTGTGGCTGATTTGCACTTTTGGTTGCCACTTACATAAATTATGTAAACACGGCAGTGTGTGAGTTGTGCCAGGACAACATGGCGTGGAAGACCTTTTATAATGAGATATTTTCTATTCAATGACGTGTCTCCAGGTGACTTGAATTTGTATACAACCCAGATATGATTGCTATAATTTGCAGACAATTGGGAAATGTCCAGGCCCATTCACTGAATTTGCATTCAATCCAGAAATGATCACTGGACATATTGAATTTGCGCACAATCAGGAGACTTTTTCTTGTGGGCACATAAGTCCAAGTGCTTTACAGTACAGAAGAGAAGTTCATCACGGAAAGGAAGTCAGGCTATTAAATGGCGCAGAATTGAAGGCATTTCAGCCGTGTACCAGGAGAGCAAGGAGAAGCAAGATGGCTAGGAAAATCATCAATGCATCTGATATTGCATCCAACGCCATGCAGGATGAGAACATCTTCAAGCTGTGCAATCCATTTGTTCAAGTGAAGGAAGGTAAAATAACAAAATTTGAAGATGGAAAGCTTACAAAGTTCGACAAACAAGTCTCCAGTTACCTGCTGGAGGAAGTCATTCTGGAGATGCAAAAGTTTGGAGAATGCTACGCACGCAGGCCCAATTTGACCGAAGTGCAGTACAGGCCAGTAGCTTGTGCCATGTTTCCTGTCTTTGCCGGTTTGGCTCCCAAGAAAGGTGAACTACTTGACGGTGAGGACATGAAGAACATGAAGAAAGATGCTGTATCTAGTTTTGATATGAGCTCTATTACTGATGCGCTTGAAGAGGTACCAGATCCATCTCGACCAGGATCACGGGCTTCGAATTCATCTAGAGAGTCAGATCGATCGGGATTTAGTTTCACAGGTGACACCTTCATTCACGAAGATGGAACTCATCTAAAGGGTCGTGAGGCAGTTGATGTACGAGGACTTGTTACATATGACAACAATCAAGTTGCCGGAAGATCCATCTTTGAGATGAAAGGCAACCAAAAGTGGACATTTGGCCTCTACCAAGGTTTGAACTATGGGGTTGGATCCTTGGTAGACAACATCAAACGCCACAGGTTTAAGAAGTTTTATGTTGTGGTCATGGGAATTGAATGGGTTGGGTGTGCAGTGATTGATCCTATTGGGTTTTTGATAAGTAAGGAGAAGAAGCTTTCAGGTATTCCAGAGTTTAGGAAGCACGTGGAATTGAAGATTGCTTATCTCAAGCAGAAGGGTAAAACTGAAGAGGTAAAAAATATGGAGAAGCGTTATCCCAAGTCATTAAGTGACAAGGATTTGCTGGACAGTTTAACCAAAGAAATGAATGGCAACATGAGTGCAGCAGCAGTCAATGCATCAAAGGCAGCAAGAAAAATTGAATACGTTCCAGAATTTAAAATCGCGACCAATGTACTTGTGGGAACTGCCACATTTAGAAAGAATGCATTCAACATGAACAAGTATCCCATTGCTGAAGGACAGGCACTCAAAGAGGAACTAACTATTGTGAAAGGTATTGCCAGAGTTATATTTGGTGACAGGGTTTTGGACTGGGAGCTGCCGGCTCTTATAAAACATGCCAACCAACGAAAAGCCAAAAGCGTTGATTTGGTGAAGAAAGTCATAAAAGCTTGATTTATGAATAAAATGTTTGGTTTAGATTTATTTGCATTTGATTATATGGATTAATACAATAAATGTTTTTTTTAGTAAAACTTTAAAAGTGTTCCGCCACTTCACCAAGGACAGAAGTGTTTTATTCCCTCGAAAACTTCGAATTCTCGAAAAGAGGCGGCACCGATCCGCATGGGAGAAGAAGCCATGGGAGAATGCTAAAATGCTAAGTCTGCCGGCTGTCGGATATCAAACTCGGGACATGCTTTTGGTTCGTTGATATTTGGTACAGCTTAGCTTGCTAATGGACGAGGCAAGAAAAGATACAAATGTGATGCCAAGAGTGAGTGCGGGAATGTGGGCGTGCTCTAGGCATTCGTGAGGTAAGATGGAGAGATTCGCAGATTCACTCATTGGAGATGTGACGCAGACGAGGGGTCCAGCGGCAATGGATCTTTGAGCTCCTGGTTTCGTGAACGTCTCGGGGTCGGCCAGGTGCAAGGGTGTCTGCTCCGAAATGGGGGCCTACTTATTTGATTTCTTGGCCCATAGGCAAAGCATTGTTTCCGGTCTTTGGAAGAATTGCTTAATTTCTAAAGAGAAGAATTTACACGAAGTTTTGCAGGATTTTGGCAGAAAAGTTTCCATCATAGCCTCTGCTGGCGTTTTCACCTTCTTACCAAAGTTTCTCTCCTGTTTCCTTCTCTCGGGCACTGAGACTTTGGTGAAACGTTCTTCTTGAAGATCCACATCTCTCTACACAGTTTCCAAAGGTCCACCCAGAGCTCACAGGTACCTATGTGTTGTGATGATATTGCCGATCTAAAGTTTCGTTTCTTCGTTTCTCAGCACTTCGACTCGCAACGGCGTAAAATCTCCCGAGCATACGAGGACTACTCTTGGAGACCCCGCTGGGATCTAAGTGAGACGGTGTCCCGGATATGGCATCGATTCTCGTTTACCCTCCATCGCGCTCACTTGTCCAGTGACTTCATCACCGAGGAGGATGCTTCTTTCAAGCGTACTGCAAAAAAAGCTTGCAATATCACTAGCCATGTCGCTGGGCCCTCTCCTCTAATGACGTCTGTGAGAAGGTTTGCTGGCTTCCCACTAAGATGGATCGATTATCGTAGATACTTGCATTGGGATGTGGATGGCTGCGATGAAAGATCTTCGCTGGAAAGCTATGGGATGCTTCGAGGGAATGGCTACATAGTACCTAAGAAGGTTATGGAATGAAAGTTTTAATATGGTTTAACTTTACCATTTATTCTTCGTGATTTATACATACTAAACGGCCAGAGTGTCCAGACTATTTACATAATAATGTACTACTTTGTGACATCTCTTGGTGGTGAGGTTGCCCAGCAAAGGAGGAGGAGCCACTGCTTCCAACGTCGAGCTTCTCATAACGATCTTACCATCCACAAGAAGCAAGTTGACCAGTTCCCGAGCAGTCTGCAAGCGACACTTGAACCAATTAGCAAACTTACCAAACCTTCTTGTCACCAACCTGTGGATTCAACACGTCCATCTGCCGAAGGAGATTCTCCTGCAGCACAGAACAGATTGATGCGTTGGGCTGGCTGACACAAAACTCTTACCTCGGAAATGCCAGGACTGGCCATGACAATGCCTATAACACGGCGACTCAAATCCGTCAAAACGCTTGTGTTGACAGTCCCTTGGGAAGTGAACCAGGGAAGGATCGGTTGAGTGTTTTCCGTCTCCGCATCCTCTCCTTCTGCTTCTGTCGTGCTCGGAAATCGAAGATTGTAACGCCTTGAGTGAGGCTGCACTACCGCACGGACGTGGTCAAAAGCATTCACCTGTAGGGAGATAGTTCTTAATAAAACTTCAAACTAAACCTCTAATCAGTATACCCGTCTCACGCGACCTGACCACTCCAGCTCCTTAACGTACTGCTCGGCTCGAGACATATCACGCGGGTTTCCTAAAAGCCACAAGGCAACAGTGTCACCATTAAGACGCTCAAGCACGACAGTGAATGGCCTACCGGACAATCCCAAGCGCGTCCCTAGCTCTTCCATACTGAGGCCTTCCTCACCACCGTCTTGGATTGCTCGCATTGCTGCTTCCGAAGTCTCAGGTTCGCAGAGGCTGCCTGCATCGTCGTGGTATTGTTCCCCTTCTTCGGTGTGAGACGGGAAATCTATCAGAATATTGTCCTCTTCGATGCTCAGCGAGTGCAGCAAACTTGGTGTAGTAAAAGCCTCGCGGTGTACCAGAGTCTGAATATCTGGAAAGCCTCTCTCGCGACGAGCCGCTTGAAAGTAATCCTGCCCCCCAAGACCCCTTAATCTCGCCTTGGCAGTACAGTCTTCCAGTTCAGCCTCCGCACTGTCAAACCTTCTCTTTATACAGCATCCAATGGTTCTAGGATCATCGCTTTCACCAATTCCATCCCGCGGAAGTCTTGGCATTAGTCGTAGCTCACCGGCTGTCACCCTTCCAAGGAGGTGTACAAGCTGTCCATAATTTTCTTCCAAATCGTACGGAACCCAGCCTTGATCTAGCTCTCCCTCGTGCTGCTGAAACCACTCGGAGAAGGCCATGAACTCGTGGAAGGTCGTACTCGGAAGAGGACTTGAGAAGGCATTCGCGTTGAACTCTTCTGACAACGAAAATGAGAGTTCACCACCGCCGGAAGTCTGCCAGCGGAAGTTAGTGTCCGTCACAAACGAACGAATGCAATATTTGGAAGCTCACTTACCACCATGGTTCGGTCCTTCAGGAAACTAAACGCTGCATGTACATCCGAGTGTCTGAACTGATGGAGGCCGTCTACAAAAGCCTTCGGCACTTGTACACGACCGTCGCTGACATACGAGTTGAGAAAGATGAGCTTGATCAACTCCACGGCATTTGCAGCTCCAAGAGACGCACGAACAACTTGCTCGGGATTCGCAATCTGAAGAGAAGCTGGCCTTCTTTTCGCTGCTCGTTTGGCCCGTTTCTTTACCGAAACTTTTGTTGCCACCCCTTGTGTCTTCAAAAGCCGGTGTGGCTCTATGCTGTTTGCAAGCGCGTTGCTGCCCGACCCCGTAACACCCTTCTTTGGGATCTGCCTGTTAACAGCTGAGCGCGAGAGATTCTTGCACCTGATAAACTCGTCCAGCGCAGAAGCCACCGCAGGATCCCTTGGATTATCCCAGTAGTATTCAGAATAGCGACGACTCTCTGCCTCTTTGAACCCGGTCATGTCACATCCCTCTGGATCATATTCGAAGCCTCCGCCTCCACCTTCCTGGTCTTCGAGACTGCAGTATCGATCGTAACGAGCAGCTAGTAGCGAACAAAGGTTGAAAAGCGCCTTCTTTACAGTAGGTTCAGTCTTCAATTGTGATATCCGCCTGCGACACGTCATTGGAGGTGCAGGAAGATCTTTCACTTCTTTCCAGATTATACGATTCATTGTAAGTGCCCGGTGCTTTGCGTATGCGAAGGCAACCACCCTACAGAATAGAAAACAATAAATCAACACACATTAATAAAATACAAAAACAGTACGTACCTGTCCACGCTATCAGACCAAGGAAATCTCGACCTCGCTGGTTTTAACTTGTTAACACTGATATGATTGCCATGGTTGCCATTGTCATCAATTTCGTCTCCACCACTCGCGTCGTCGTTTGCAACTTCTGTGATCTGTTTCGTAACGTCTTTGGAAGGGAAAGTTTCACCAGGCAAATCTGAAATGTTCCTGAACACTTCCATGAAGTCGTCGGCAGCCTTTAAAGATTGTAATCGTAGTCTCCGGTTTTTCTCATACGAGTACCGCAGGACCTGAAATTATTTCCTTGAAGTAATGCCTTTGAAGCACAGTAACGAACCTGCTGGAGCGTAAGGTTCAAATCCTTTGAAACCTGAGCGCACTCCTTCACTGACAAACGTTCTACATCGTTCAGTCGCTTGAAAAGCTCGTTGCGCTGGTCCATAGTCATCACACGTAGCGATGTCCAGGATCTCAAACCAAATACCTGTCAATCCAGCAAAACATGTAAGTGACTGAAGATGTAAACCTTGCATACTCACTTCAGGAACGTTTGATCCCGGAAAAGCATGTCGAGCAATGGATGGGTCTGCCCCCGAGTAGAAATATTCCAAAAACTCCCAGTATTTTTCGAGTTGTCCTTCAGAAACAATGTCGAAATTGTGTTGAGTCAAGGAATCAGGTGCAGTTTTACTCGTCCAGGCATGAAGTGGGGGTGGAGGAGGCTCCTGAATATATATTTGCTCCTCCATCGCGTAGGATACAGTGGCTTCCATCAGGGTTATGCTACCAAATTGACCTGTGGCTTGCGGAGAAACCGGGCAGTCGAGCGCGAAGCGGAGAAGCTAAACAGAAAAGAAAAAGAACAATTTAACCAACATGGTTCGAAAAATCTGTATGGAACCAGCTGAAGAACTACTGACCTTGAGCCGGCGAAGTACGTCCACCAGCCAAGCCAGCCGTCCCCCAGCCGTAGAATCAAGAAGAGCGGCCTGCTCGGTTGGAGAAAGTTCACAGATACGCGTACCTTGCTTACAGCGCTCGGCCAAGTTATTGATGGACCTGCTCGAACCAACCACTTGTAAGAACAATTCCAGTGGCATCGTCAGCAAAGCGTCCGTTAAGCCGAAAATTCTGTACCCATTCCCAATGTGCTGATTGTTAGTGTAGCTCCAGAGAAAATGGTGCAGCATACGGACACGAACCATCTTAGCAGGAATATAGCCATTTTCTTGAAGTGCCACCGGCTTCGTGCTTGGGTCAAGAAGAGGCTTCCTGTGTTCCAACTTCATTCTCTTCAACCCCGTCACTACAACCGCTGTCGAGCCTGCCGCTGCGCTTTTCTCTCGTCCCTGGAGTCGATTGTCGGTCTCAGCTTTTCGGATGCGCTCATGAATCGCGTTCAAAAGGTCGAAGTCCAGGTCTACTGACGGAAGCAAGACGATGTCTGCCTTGCGTTTGCGGCCACAGTTTGTTGTCCCTGGGATTTCGAGCGTGACGCACTTGCATTTCCCTTCACTCTGCAGCTTCTCAAGTGTCCGAATCAGCGTTTTACGGTCCATAGTGGTCTTTTGAGAGCTTATGCTCTCCAGCCACCTATGCAGCTCAGCTCGCACGAGAAACTTTTCTTCCTGTAACCGCGCCAAGATATGTTTCTCTCGCTGAATACTTGTAGTTGTAACGGTGAGACAAGGATATGCCTGTCCTTTCCGGAAGAGCGATGGAGGAGGAAATGCAGCAGCTGGAGCCGTCTGGTCAGCTGGACTGCTTGTACTCGCTGCTCCCTCTTGTTGGAGAGATGCCACAACGGCATTGGCATCTTCTTCAACTTCCATTTTGAATAATGAATCGGGATCGGCACCAGTTTCTCTGGGTTCATCGTCGTTTTCGTTCTCACTGTCACTGCGTTTTCTCTTTGTGGTTCTTAGCCGATAAATAGTGGATCGCTTGTGGTTTTCAGCTTCAAAAAGAAGACCATGTTTCACTGTCATGTTCTGGATGCGATAGTAATTCCGCTTATTGTTTAAGCCAATCCGCTTCCATACCTGAAGTTACTATTGAGAACAAGATAGAAGCGGACAAGGAGAAAAATACCTCCATCATTGTCACACCATCGGCACCTTCATCGTCAATCATGTTGTAGATCTGCTGATCAACTGAAAGATCAACAAGTTGTTGTGTAACCTGTCCTCTTTTCGGACCCTTGAGCTCGATGTCACCATCGCCTGCAGGAGACTGCTGCTCAAGGTCATTAAACGGCTTCAACAGCTGGAGACAAGGCTTCTCCTGAAAAGAGTTTTTTACGTTAGTAGCCCAAGAACATAGCAAACAGCACCCTTTACCTTCCGACCAATTTTTGCTTTAATATTAGTAACATACCCGCCTTCTTCTAATCTCTTCACAAGCTGTAATAATGCAAACAGTTAGCACTAAGGAGGAAATTTAAACATAGTAACCCACTCGTCGCCATGCACGATGACCAGCTGCCAAACGGTACCCCAGTGTTAATTTCAGATCGGACACAACAAGAACCTTCGAAAAAAAAAGAGAGAAACAGTGAGAGTCGCAGGCAAAACAGAAGTGATGAAATCATTACCTTTCCATCAGCTTCCTGAAGCTTCTCACAAATGGCTCTCATTGCCGGCACATCATCGTTTATCGTCAACTGTTTTCCACCATTGGGAGAGCCCTCCCCGGCCTCCTCAACCGTGTTGGATTCTAGACGCTGGTGTGAATTCAGGGACATGTTTAGTGCATACCGAGCGAGATGCACAAGGTTGGTGACAACGATGGAGCTGTTCTTCTTGTTGTTGCGCAAAAGTATCGACTTCCTCACTATGAGGCCTCTGACTTCCAGACTCCTGAGGATGTAAAAGAGCTTGTTTCCTTCCACTTTGAACTCTTTCCCAAGCTCGTTCTGGGTCACTCCTTTCGTCCTAGAAGAAACAAAAACCAAAACTTCTTTCACAACAGAAGAAAAAAGAGATACGAAGAATCGAAAGAGAAAAAATGCAGTACCGTGCACTTGCCAGACGCTCGAGAATGGCGTGCTGGATTTGAGAAGGCTGTGTGTCGGCATGGCTGATATCGTATAGCCCCAAGCACCCGTCTCGTAGCTCCTGCGAGGCCACCGCGACGACTCCCATTCTCTCTGCCGTTTCAAACGTCTCCACCAAGCTGGAATCACAGGCTCCCCCGGCCGCGTCAGTGATGCTCAACCCCGGCACCCGCAGCAAGCTCCTCCAGATCTCCTGTTTGATGTGATCGTCGAGAACATCGGCCCCAAGCGCCGCCGCCGCCGGAGCACATTGGATCAGGGACCAAAGCTTGGCAAGATCGCATCCTGCGGGGCAGAAAATCGATTGGAATCACGCGAGAGAGAAGCGAAACGATATTTCGGAGGATCGCGCTCACCTCGAGGCCCTTCCGCTGCGATCTCCTCGAGCGCGGCAACCACCAGCTTCTCCATTTCCCAACGAAAGACCTAGGAAGCCCTAAAAACAGAGAGGAGGCACGGAAAAGGATATTCTCGGCGCGGGATGGGTTTAGGGTTCTTAGGAGGAGATTTCCGGCAGTGGGCCAAAGACGAGGGAGATTGTGGCCAAGGCGCAGCATCGGTAGATTACGATCCGGGGATCGTCGACAACGATCCTGGAATGCGGCGACGACGGCGACCTAGAAGGTATGCTCCGGCGCTGTATCAGCTTCAAGGCGGCGCCGAATCATCGCAGGGTTCACAATCATATCGTCATGACTGAGCGCTGCGCTCGATCGCTGGGCACGATGCTCATCACGGCATATGGGAAATGCGGGCTCCCGGAGGTCGGGGCTTGCGGTGGCAGAACAAGCAAACTTTAGGCCGCGGATCAACACGCTCGATTCCACCAAAGATCGCGAACAAAAGGCTGCCGGTTCCTACTACTACCTGGATGGCTGAGCTTGCCCCCAGGATCTGGCGGTGCTGTCCCTATATTGCTGTCTAGAAACACTGTACATCTTAGCGCGTCCATTTGAGCCAGGAACACGCCTTGAAGAAAGTCCAGGAGCTAAAAGCCGAGGATCTTCTCAGAATTTTAAAGACTTGGAATCTGATCTTCCAGTCGTCAAGGAAAGTGCTACATTTATACAGAACTCATCACAACTTTACACTATCCAATTAAAGTAATTCTCAGAGCTCAGCTGTGGCTACTACATGCAATCCTAGCAAAAACTTTTATTCCAGTTACCCAGCATTTAGCTTGCTTAATTTTGTAGTGAAATACATTCAATATTATAATTTTAGTTGAAAACTTTAATAAGTGTTGGGACATCTCTAATATAAGTACGAGACTTTATCCCAAAAAACACAAAAGTTTCAAACTCTTTTATTTTCCCAAAGAAAATATTAAAAACTTTTACACATAGACGGTCTCCATACTAGGACAAGAATATGGGAATCATAAAGCCCGAGAATAGATTGAAGACCGATTATAGTACATAACATGACGAAAAAGCAAGAACTTTCACAATAACACAAGGTTACGCAGCAGTTTAGCTAGTCTCTTTATAAATGATTTCACTTTTCTGAGCTAAGTGTGCTTTTGAGGTAGAGAATTATGGCACAGGGAGTACTTAGGATATCCTTAAGGAAAGCGAGCACCTCTCACATCACTAGTGCCTCCAACTTAAAAAGATAGTCCATACTCATATAATAGTGCTTTAGTTATTCAAATTCAGGCGGCAGCCATACCACTATATCCGTTCTGAGCTGTAAGTAGCGAGTTCCAGCAAACTACATCCTATACTGGAATCTGATCAAATTATTCCTGGCATTCTTCATAGGGACACATCTTGGGGCAGACAAAGCCATTCCTCTCACAGCAGTCATAAGTAACCATAGTAAACACAACCCGAATAGATCTGGGACGTACAATTTGCCTTGCTTCTCAACACTTTGTCCAATATTCCAGATGGATAACTTTGGTAGAGCAAGAAGGAACGGGGTTACAAGAAGTGGTCATCCTTTGACCCCTCAGACTTTGGAGCCACCACCACGCTCTCTTGGTAGAAGTCAATAATGTGCCACCACCCGCTTGAAATCCCGAAACCTACATGGTCAAGGATCTTGATTTTAGTCCTTTAAACGAACAAACGAGCCACCCAGTACAAAGTTGACATCCACACATTCCTTAAAGGCCTCCTTAAAGGCATGGGCCTTGCCACGTCTGCCCCAATTCCAACGAAAACATTCATTGGCAGCACTAGTGCCTCCTATTAAAAAATGCATCGGTTGGCTTTGAGGATGGGAGATCTACGAGCGGAGCCAAGAGAGCTCTGCGTATAATAGTAGCATTTTATTTAAACTCTGGCGGCAGCCAAACCCATACATCCATATCCAGAGCCACAGTACATATCCAGTTTACAGGTTGCCAGTAGTGACTGTTTTGGGACACATCTTGGTGCAGCCAAAGCCATTCCGCTCGCAGCAGTAGTGCTCCACACCATCCTCGCACTTCCACAGGCAGCCGAATCCATTCTTGAGGCAGCAGGAGTACTTTTTGGATGTCTCACAGTTCTGCATGCACCCAAACCCATTCCTGAGGCAGCACTGGTACTCTTTGCCTTTCTCGCACTCCTGCATGCAGCCCCATCCGTTCTTGAGGCAACAGTAAGTTTCGCCCACAACGCTGCTTAGTGCTGCACACAAAAGAAATGATGGAAACAACAGTTTGAAGAGCTCAGCCAGGGTTGAATATATTTGCAGCACCTTCTTTTTCCAGGATAGTAGACACATATCGTGGATCATGTGTCGCATCCACCCCTCCCGCAAAGATCGTTTCTGTGGAACAACACTTTTCAGCATTACGCAAATGAAAATTTGCAATATACCTGCTTCATTGTCGACGCGAGTAGCATTGACAGCTGCGAGCACCAGGAATGGCAGCACAAGAACGATGCAGGTAACTGGAGCCAGGGCCATGACTATCTGAAAACAGCAGATCTGATAGAAGTGGCATTTCATGTGTCCAATTTAAAGAAACAATATGCGGGGACCAGTAAGATATTAGGAATAAGTTAGGACCATCAGTGAGAGCGAGAGTTTCTTGTGGGCCTCCAAACACCTAAGGCATGATAGACAACGAGATGGTCGGGACCACTTGAAAGTCCCTTTATTTGTGGCCAACTACCAGATAGAGACTAAATTGCCAATAGCATTTTCAAGGTTTGGTTTGTTCTCTTGATAAATATAAACAGGGGTCAAGTTTCAACAAGCCTTTCTGTACAATCACGAGATCAAAACATCAGAACGTTCATCCTGCTCCTAGCAGCTCCATTGTTTTTCTCACGCGGGTTTAGCAATCATCTTTCTTCTAGCCGCCACCAAAGGTTCCTTCTTGTCCTGCTTGAACTTCTTCAGCTTTCTGTTCGATGACCCCGCCACAGACCAAGAAATAGTACTGAGCTTTTGGGTTGGTAGCCCAATGAGTCTAGTGCTGTTCTGGCTTACCATGATAGCCTTGTCTGACGTAGAAGCTTTGCTTTCGAACTCAGAACTTGACTTGGCTTCTTTCTCTGCTTTCCACACTAACAGATCAAAGGTGGCATCTGTCATCCAGATCGAGCCACTCCTGAATCTCATCCCTCAATCCGGACGAGTAGTAGACGCACTTACTGAATTCGGGTATTGCCTCCGTCATCCTAGACAAGAGCTCCGTAGTCATTTTGTCCATCCGTGTATACCCTCCATCGCGCTCACTTCTCTTCATCACTCAGGAGAATGCTCCTTTCAAGCAGTACGGCAGCGAAAGCTTGCAATGTTGGCCACCTCTTCTTTGATCACGCTGGAACCGCTACAGCCTCCACTGATAGAAGCTTCCCTTTGGTTTTGCAGCTTTCCAAGATCTGTGCTTGCGTTGTCTTGTTGTAACTCATTCGGTGGGACTTCATCACTTTGTAGAGACGATGAACGTTTTCTATATCACCGCCCGCAGCATAGGCTCGGATCATCGTCTGCCACCATTCCAGATTCTTTGTCTGTACACTCTGAAACACCACGTCGGCGTCCTTCAGGCTGCCCAGCCGGATGAAGAGCTCGAGGAAGCGCCTGGCAGTCTCAAACTCGGTGGCCATCCCCAACGACGATAAGTGTGCATGCAGCGCTCGAGCGTCCTCCAGGCTTGAGCACGCATTCATCGCGTCTTGGCACATCTTTACGTTTGCTGTGCCGGGTCCGTATTGGGGAACAACTTGAGCGCCTGTCCTCTCTTCTTATACCTTCTTCCAGGTCTCGGATCCAGCGCCAATGGTGGAAAGCAGTTGACGATGAACGGTTATGTGCCGGCAATGAGAGCCATTTGTGGAAGCTGATGGAAGGGTAATCACTCCTGTTTTGCCTGCGTTTTTCTTTTGTTTTCGAAGATTCTTGTTGTGTCCGATCTTGGTCGGCAGGTAAAGGATGCTGCTTTCTAACCTAAAATACTGTTTTCATGAAAGGAGCTGATAATACCGTTTAATGACCTTGAGCAGCAGGCGATGGTGTCGAGCTCAAGGGTCCGAAAGGAGGACAGGTTACAGAACAACTTGTTGATCTCAACAGATTTACAACAAGGATGGTTTGACAATGTTAGAGGTATTTTTGTCCTTGTCTGAAATAGCTTCATTAGCTTAAACTAGCGGAATTACTAACAGTCAAACATAGAAAACCAAAAGCGATCCACTATTTCCTAAGAATCACAGAGAGAAAATGAGAACGAAAACGACGGAAACTGGTGGCGATCCCAATTCATTATCCAATGTGGCAGTTGAAAAAGATGCCAACACTGTTGTGCTAGTACAAGCACCAAACAGCTCCAACTGCTGCATTTCCTCCTCTATCGGTCTTCCAGAAAGGACAGGCATATCCTTGTGAACTACAAGTATTCAGCGAGATGACATATCTTGGTGCGGTTACAGGAAAAAAAGTGAGCTGAGCTGCATAGAAAAAGACCACCATGGACCTTAAAAATTGTTGGGAAATTGACACACTCAAAATCTGAGGTCATTGCTATTGCGATAGTTTGTTCCCAGCTGCCTGTCCACAATCATGTGAAGTGCCGCATAACATACTACTTGGCACTATCCAAAGAAAATATCATATTAACAAACCGAATTGATGAGAAGTAAGGCGTCGTTGTGTCAAGGAAAAACTAAGCATGTAGTGAAAACATTGCACAAATACAGATGGGCATGGTGCAGCTGCACTATGTCCCCTAGGGATTCAATACAACTAGAAACTTGTGGCTAGGTGAACTATGCCACTTCCTACTCATTCAACTATATTAGACTGTAGTTTGGCCATAAATTACATAGCTAAATTATATACTATGACATGTTTCACTATTTGAATGGTGAATAATATGTTTGAATAGAAAAAAAATGCAAGACATAAACTATTAACACAAGTACTTTTTTCTCTATTTTAAAGATTAACAATAATACAAATATAAACTATGCTTTACCAGTATATGGACAGACTGGCCCCAACCGCATGCATCTTTATAGAGTCTTGTTTGCAATAACTATTGTACTCTTTCAAACACATATACCCTTTTTCACATAGATTGCTCCTCATGCTCCCTCCTTGCCTTCAACCAAAAAGAAAGAACTGTTATAAATACAAATCTATATTAGAACACACTTACAGCAAGAGCATAAGAAATCATATGTATAAACTTATACTCCTTGAAGAGTCTTCTAGTGGATATGGAATTTCATCCATCTCATATCCTCTTAAGGATCAACATCATGCCTACTCTAGGCTTTAAGCAATACTCAATTAATTACTTGCTCAAGTTTAGCTTCAGCAATATTGCCAAACTCAAAATCTAGCAAGGAAACCCAATTATGCCTTTTAAACACCATTGAGTTCTGTACTGATTGTATTTACCTCTATTCAAGGGTATGTTGAAAACTTCACTGCAGTTTTTTTTTTCTGCAAAATATAATAATCAAACCTTGCCTTTTCTCAGGAGGATCTTCAATGGCCTACATTTCCTAAACAAGTGAAGATGTATCAAAAAATATATAAATTACCTTGTTAGAGTTTAGATTGTCCTCTTGCTCATAAAGTAATTATTCTCCCTGTAATTTTGTTAGTCACAGACAAAAGTAAGCTTATAGTGTCTTACCTCTACTTCATCCTTTTCTTCATTGGTTTGAATATCCTAGAATAAAACCAATGACATTAATATAGTTGTGCTATGCTAAAAAGTCATAATACCTTGTTTTGACATTTTAATGTACTAGTATCTTTTCCTTGCTGATATATGGAACTTTCATATTGAAGACATTTTTTGGTCTGAGATCAATAAGTTTTGTTTTTGTTTTGCAATATTCTCTAGTCATTGTAACTCATACTTTGAAAGTATTTTAAGAGCTTTAGGCAATTTTCTTTCTATTTACAAAAATTACAAAATAAAAAATTGTTATCTAAACACTTTACCTTGTTCTGGGATTGATTTATATCTTGTATGCTCTTCTTTTTTTCCTGATTGAACAATCATTTAAAATTTAGTGGTTTTACAATTTTAAAATTGAAACTTAAATGAATGCTATAAGTGTCATAATTGGCTGAATCTTCCTCCAACTCTCCAAATCTGGATACAAGAAAAGCATGCTCAAGACTTTTAAGCTGGCTGCAAGAGGCCATCATCTAAAACAAATCAGTGGGGGTCAATTGGGGACCTCATGGGGGCAAAGGATTGGTTTTCAATGGTGTAAGCTAGGTGAGGACATATGGTATTTAGGAATACAGGTGAGAGTCAACTTCAACATAGCAACTCAAAATGGCACACTTCTAAGAAGAATCAAGACCATGATCAACAAAGGGACTCCATGAAAGCTTGGGCTTGTGGCTTGGGTGGTGCTGATGAAGAATATCATCTTCCTATTCATCTGGTATCATCTTTCAATATGGCCAATGTTGGAGACAACAATCAAAAAGATGTGCACCATCGTAAAAAATTATGTATGGAAAAGGGCATTGGTTACAATGAAGTCAATAACAAAGGTGGTGTGGCGATTTATTACCTACCTTCAAGTATTAAGAGACCTAATGAAGTACAACAAATTAATTATGTATTCAAGCATTTTATTGATAGTTAGGATTATGACCTTGACACTTAAGGTTACAATCTTGATAGTTAAGACTCAAGAAAAAGGAATAGTTAAGGGGGAGAGTTAGCATTTGACCCCTATCCTTATCTCTATTATATTCTAATCTATCACAAATGCATATCCATTTGCTTAAGACTAAAGTATTTTAGTGATGTTAAGTTTATCTTTATTCACAGCCACTTGCATGAGCCTTCTTGGGGATTAAAGGTTTTAAATTAATTTCTAATTGATTCATGTGTTTGGTAACTTGTTCCAAGGTAAGAATTACTATACGAACACAAAATCAACAACATCAAAAACCCTCTATTTTTTTGCAACTATAGTAACAGACCGGTGCAGCTAGTCACAATCGCAAGCCAAACTACACTAAAGAACTTCTCTGAGTCTGGATTGCTATTGTTGTGCCGCAGCACCAAGTGAGGCACAACAAGCAAGGCTCTATGCTCTATGGGTGTGCTCCATGGGTAGTTACAAGTTCACCAGAATCAACCATGCCTTGAGCTTCGGCTCTACACGCCACAGTATTAGAAAACAAGCTCTTTACATAAAACTCTTTCCTTGGGTAAAGCCAAAAAAAAGAGAATAAAACAAGAGGGAAGACTTATCAGCTGTGTGTGCAACACTGCAATCGCGGAGGAGATTGAGAGCTGGAGGGGAGGCTTGTGTGGTTAGTTACAAGATGGCCACTAAAGGCTTGCATGGAATCTTGAGAATCTTTTTAGAAAGGTGGCATTTTATATGAAGCAATGAGGAAAGGTTTTTGGAAGTCATTTATCTAATTTTTGCATCAAGAGTTTTGATCCGGAGGCAATCAAGGGTCCCTGGTTGGACATGTTTAGATGCATGGGCGAAGTTTACACAATGCTTATAGTGCGCGAAGCTTGAGATTTGCAGCAACGAGGCGGACAAGATCTTGGTGTTTTGTTGTATCAGTGATCATCGTGTGTGTGACAATGAGTGGGATGAGTGAGCGTGAAGATCATAAGCACATGTGAAAAACACGTGCTGAAAAACAATGGTTTGGCTGCTTAGAGGCTTTCAACTTTGTTGCACAGCTAGAGAAGGAGATGCTCTTAGAGCTCGGGATTGCCAAATTTGACAAATATATGCCTCTCTTGTCATTGATCATGCTTGCGTCATCAACAGAGCTCCTCCAGCTCATGCTCCAGAGGATACATCTGCAAGTACAGTAGATGCCGCGTTGGTGGAAATGCAATAATATCACATTCTCCTCCAACAACACAGACACAGCAAGCAGAGATTTTATAAGAGTTGAGACACCTTAGGACGTATGCTGCTGATTGTCCTCCATGCCATCGTCTCTTTTGCAATCACTGCAAATCGAGTACACAGGACGAATTGTGCTGTTGGAAGTTACACCCTGAGCAACGCCTGCAGCCTTAGTAGGTTCTGCAGCACCCTTTGGTGGACAACTCCTCGTTTGCAGCTGAGTCGAGCTATCGTCAGACTTTTCAGCAAGGCGCGATCAAAGCCCCGCCACCTTTGGACAAAGGAAAGAAAGTTGCTGGCATCCATGCGGTCGGTCGCCGCAAATACTCGAGGTCAAGCAAAGAAGCCTGTGCCTTCACACGTTGGTTTAGGTCCAGATCCCCCCAAGTGAGCTCAGTGCCTCCTTTGCCAGGAGCAGCAGTGGGAATGCACCACGAGATTTCCATGCCTTCTAGCAGCAGAATCTCGCATACTCAAGTTCCTCAACATGTCACACACAAGCTCCATGATTTACATTTGGATGTTTCTCGCAGGGATTTGTTGATCATGGTCATCGGTGATTCTCCACCTTTGCCTTCACCTCAGACACAGCTCATGAAAGTCGTCCAAGTCCCTTTCACAAACAAAATATAAAAGAGATAAAAGAGTGCGTCATTGATGCCCATCCCCGGCCATGGCCCAAGCGCTCAGGGATTGGCAGCTAAGTAATCCCGGGGAACTCGGCGATCTCCTGCGGCATCCATTTCCCAAAGAAAGGGTCGTTGTGTTACTCGGCGATCTCCTCGAGCGCGGAATCTCCATTTCCCAACGAAAGACCTAGAAAACCCTAAAAACAGCATGGAGAAGGATAACTCGGCGGGGGATGGGTTTAGGGTTCTTGGGACAATGCGGCTCGGCCGGCTCGATGGGCCAAAGACGAGGGAGATCGTCGCCAAGGCGCTGATGCGCAGCAAGCTCAGGAACACGCGGCGCGACGCAGAGGAGCCCTACACTCCGCCGCCGCCGCGGCCGCGCGATTCCCTGCTGCTTGTCGCCACAGTCGCCACGCCAGCATCGGTAGATTACGATCCGGCCGAGGCGACGGGGATCGTCGGCAAGGATGTGGAGCTCCTGGAATGCCAGGGCTGCGAGGCGACGACGGCGACCCTAGAAGGTATGCTCCGGCACTGTATCAGCTTCAAGGCGGCACCGGATCTTCGCAGGGTTCACAATCACATAGTCATGACCGAGCGCTGCAATCGATCGCTGGGTACGATGCTCATCACGGCGTATGGAAAATGCGGCCTCCCCGACGCGGCGGTATCGGTCTTTCGGGGCTTGCGGCGGCAGAACGAGCAGGGCTGGACGGCGGCGATCGTCGCCATGGCCGAGAATGGACGGCATCGCGACGCTTTCAATCTCTTCCGGGACATGATACTGGATGGCTCACCGCCACTGCCCGTGACTTACACGGAGGTTCTCAAGGCCTGTGGGGAGATGGGCGGTCTCAAGGAGGCCAAGCTCGTCCACTTTTGTCTCGCGACCTCGCGGTGGCGCTCGCATTTGCCCGTCGTTAATCAGCTCATCGATACGTATGACAAGGTTGGAGGGATCGAGGAGGCCAGCAAAGCTTTAGGATCTGTCATCGTTGACGCTGGATCCGAGACCTGGAAGAAGGTGTGGGGGACGTATAAGAAGAGAGGACAGTCGAGGGAGGCGCTCAAGCTGTTCCTCAATATGGACCCGGCACAGCAAACGTCTCTAAACGCGAGGATGTGCCAAGAGGCGATGAATGCGTGCTCGAGCCTGGAGGACGCTCGAGCGCTGCACGCACACTTATCGTCGTTGGGGATGGCCACCGAGTTTGAGACTGCCAGGCGCTTCCTCGAGCTCTTCATCCGGCTGGGCAGCCTGAAGGACGCCGAGGTGGTGTTTCAGAGTGTAAAGACAAAGAATCTGGAATGGTGGCAGACGATGATCCGAGCCTATGCCGCGGGCGGTGATATAGAAAACGTTCGTCGTCTCTACAGAGTGATGAAGTCCCACCGAATGAGTTACAATAAGAAAACGCAAGCACAGATCTTGGAAAGCTGCAAAACCAAAGGGAAGCTTCTATCAGTGGAGGCTATAGCGGTTCCAGCGTGATCAAAGTAGACATGGCCGACATGGCTAGTGGTATTGCAAGCTTTCGTTGGCGTACTGTTTGAAAGAGTGCATTCACCGTAGTGATGAAGAAGAGAAGTGAGCATACAAGGATGGATTAAATGACTACGGAGCTCTTGTCTAGGATGACGGAGGCAATACCCGAATTCAGTAAGCGCATCTACTACCAGTCCGGATTGAGGGATGAGATTCAGGACTGGCTGGGACGGACACCACCTTTGATCTGTTAGTGTGGAAAGCAGAGAAGAGCTTGGGGGGAAGAAAGAAGCCAAGTTAAGTTCTGAGTTTGAAAGGAAGGCTTCTACGTCAGACAAGGCAACCATGGTAAGCCAGAACAGCACTAGACTCATTGGGCTACCAACCCAAAAGACTATTTCTCGTTCTGTGATGTGGTCATCGAACAGAAAGTTCAAGCAGGACGAGAAGGGACATTTGGTGGCAGCGACGTCCGTTCGCTAGAAGAAAGATTATTGCTGAACCCGCGGGAACACGGAAACAATGGAGCTGCTCATCGTGGCGTAGACCAGGAGCAGGATGAACGTTCTGATGTTTTGATCTCGTGATTGTACAGAAAGGCTTGTTGAAACTTGACCCCTGTTTAGGAGTGAGTGTTGTTCACCTCTAAATATTTATCAAGAGAACAAACCAAACCTTGAAAATGCTATTGGCAATTTAGTCTCTATCTGGTAGTTGGCCACAAATAAAGGGACTTTCAAGTGGTCCCGACTATCTCGTTGTCTATCATGCCTTAGGTGTTTGGAGGCCCACAAGAAACTCTCGCTCTCACTGATGGTCCTGACTTATTCCTAGTATCTTACTGGTCCCCGCATACTGTTTCTTTAAATTGGACACATGAAATGCCACTTCTATCAGATCTGCTGTTTTCAGATAGTCATGGCCCTGGCTCCAGTTACCTGCATCGTTCTTGTGCTGCTCGCAGCTGTCAATGCTACTCGCGTCGACAATGAAGCAGGTATATTGCAAATTTTCATTTGCGTAATGCTGAAAAGTGTTGTTCCACAGACACGATCTTTGCGGGAGGGGTGGATGCGACGCATGATCCACGATATGTGTCTACTATCCTGGAAAACAAAGGTGCTGCAAATATATTCACCCCGGCTGAGCTCTTCAAACTGTTGTTTCCATCATTTCTTTTGTGTGCAGCACTAAGCAGCGTTGTTGGCGAAACTTACTGTTGCCTCAGGAACGGATGGGGCTGCATGCAGGAGTGCGAGAAAGGCAAAAATTACCAGTGCTGCCTTAAGAATGGGTTTGGGTGCATGCAGAACTGTGAGACATCGAAAAAGTACTCCTGCTGTCTCAAGAATGGATTTGGCTGCCTGTGGAAGTGCGAGGATGGTGTGGAACACTACTGCTGCGAGCGGAATGGCTTTGGCTGCACCAAGATGTGTCCCAAGACAGTCACTACTGGCAACCTGTAAACTGGATATGAACTGTGGCTCTGGATATGGATGTATGGGTTTGGTTGCCGCCTGAGTTTAAATAAAATGCTACTATTATACGCGGAGCTCTCTCGGCTCCGCTAGTAGATCTCCCCTCCTCAAAGCTAACTGATGCATTTTTTAATTGAAGGCACTAATCCTTAGGTGCTCACTTTCCTTGCAAATCAGCTAAGACAATACTTTATACTAACTTTGTGGTTGACCATCTGAATCCCACTGGGAGGCCTGTGTCGAGGAGGCAACTGCGTTTGTTCGTTTAAAGGAAATCAAGAATCCTTGATCATGTAGGGTTTCGGGATTTCAAGCGGGTGGTGGCACTCGATGACATTACTGCCTTCTAGCTTTCTAAGGAAACGTGCAACTCAACAACATTATGGGGAGTTAGAAATTCATACATAACATGCATCTTCTTTAGATGTATCCTCATTCCTTCTTGCGCTGTCAAAGTGCGTGGATTTTACCAAAGTTATCCTGGACAATGTGTTGAGAAGCAAAGGCAAAATTGTACGTCCCAGATCCATTCGGTCTGTGTTTACTATGGTTACTTATGTAATGTGGTTTATTAGGATAGGAAGAGTGCAAGTGCCATCCAAGAAGTACTTGTGCTTCCTGAAGAATGGATTCGGCAGTGCAAGGCCTATTTTTCTTAAGTTGGAGGCACTAGTGATGCGAGCGATGCTCGCTTTCCTTAACGATATCCTATGTCTGTGCCATAATTCTCTACCTCGAAAGTACACTTAACTCAGAAAGGTGAAATCATTTAATTAGATTAGCTAAACTGCTGGGTAACCTCATGTTATTGTGATACTCGGTCTTCAATCTATTCTCAGGCTTTATGACTACCATGTTATTATCTTCACTTTGTGCTTTTCCTGCAGAGGATTCTAGAGTGGTGATACTATTGGATCTGTCTGATCACGTCCTAGTACGTGTCAATTCTTCGTGTGAAGTGTCTGGCAGCATTTGCCACGACTGAGCCGACAAGGAACTCTCGCTGTCTAGGAGACCATCACCAGTGACCACATATGTGTAGAGATTTTCTTTGTAAAAACAAAAGAGTTTGAAATTTTTGTGTTTTTAAGGGATTTAAAGTCTCATACTGTAATTAGAGAGTTTCCCAACAATCTTATTCACTTATTAAATTTTTCAACTGAACTTATAATATTCAATACAAAATTAAGAAAACTATTTAACTATTGATATTTTTATAACAAATGGGTAACTGTTTCTGAAATATATCAAAGAGTTTTGTAAATTAATAAATTATTTTTAATTTTTTTATCTAAATGTAATATAAATATATCTTGGACGTGTTTCTTGGTATAACTCATGTAACAATTTACTTTTATAATAATAATATTATATAACAACAACAATATGTATAGCATTTTTATTTTTATATATATAGCAACACATGTTGCATCCCTTTAAAAACATTGGGCTTTTATTTTTAAATTAAGTTATAATTATAATTTTTTATATGAGAGGTGATATATTACTTTTGCATCTTTTACATATATGATTATTTATTTTTTAAATAATTATTTTTATTGGTATTTTGTATTTAAGCTTTACAAATAAAGTTGTGGATGGCCATACATAGTTGTTTCCTTTTTTAAACTAAGGCTTATTTTTTTTAGTGAAACTAAACATTTAGAGCCAATTTTAAACTATATATTGCTTAATTAAAATGTTATAATCTTCACAATATTTTTATAAATTTTTATATTATTAAATTATAGTATAAATTATATAAAAAATTTACAATTTTTTAAAGAATTGTGATTGAAATTACATCATAATGTATATATTAATCTTAACAGAAATTTCTTAAACAAAAATTATCAAGAGTATGAGACTGTTTGGAATGCCAGAATGGGATGCTGTGCTTATTCCAAGATCTGTTTGTGAGAATGTGGTGAGAAGTGACATTTAGGATCTAGATAGAATTCTTAATGCTCTCTCTCTCTCTCTCTAGATTTGGCCTTCTGAATAGATATCGCAATGGTGAACTCATTGATCTCAACGAGCTCTGCTTGTTGCTATCCAAGAAGACACAAACGTTTCAGGAGCCAATTACTAGTGATAACTGTCTCATGGTGATTGACAAGCCCACGGTATGGAAGAAACGTGAACAGAAAAAAGTGTTGGATCAATTCTCTCTGCGTTTCCAGTTGTTTTGTGCAGTTTCCTTTTTATGATGGCTTCGAGGTTTCACCGTAGGCAAAAGTATCACAGCCGATTCTTACTAACTAACTTCCATTCCAGTCAATGCTCTAGAAAGATGACCCGTTAAGCATCTGGGTTGAACGATCTAGTGTCACCAAGTTTCATGCTTCTCATAGAAGCCAAGCAGAGAGTCAGAGTAACGAAAGAAACTCACCAAACAGATTGCCAGGCAGGATCGCGGAGGATATCGTGCGCGGATGGACGCTGGTCGCGTCTTGCTGTCACCTTGGACGTGTTGGTACGCCCAGTCGGCTGGTAAGACGTCAATCACACCGATTCACCAAAATAAGCAAGGACGTTGCACAAACTGCAGTCAAACCTGCCGGGGGACACCTCCAATGAAGTTCGAAGAGTATAACGCCAAGCGCGAGCATGTCAGTGTAGGTCGAGTTGCTCCGGTGCTCTCCTTATTTTTAGCAGTAAGCCAACAAATGAAGATGAAATAGATGTTTTAACTTTCATTAGCCCTCCCAGCTTGATGAGTCCGTCATCGTTGTGTGATATATCCCGATGATCACCAACGTTGTCGTGTACATGCCACAACTTGAAGAAGCTGCCTAAACGCATCTGACTCACCGCCGAGGAGCACCAACTGGAGCAAGCCAAAACTCCATGACAATGTAGACTTTGGACTTGCCCATTTCCTCCTGCCATATGTCAAAGTATATGTTGGGATGTTTACAGCACTAGAGCATATCTCCCTCCTCGAAGACGAGCTGGTCCCTGGACTTCGTTGCCGTGCAAACTTTGATGACATACATGTCGTCCTCCTTCCTACGGCACTTGTATATTTTGCCGGACGCGCCGTGGCCGACACAAGCGAGCACTTTGTAGCTGCAGCCTGGACAAGAGACAAGAGGCAACTCAGACGCTCAAAGCGGCCAAAGAAAGAAATATTGTATCCGCAGGAGTCTTCCGATCGATTCCACGATCCCATTCCCGACAAAACGGCCACGTCAGATGGAGTTTAGGGTTTAAGGAATCATATATATGGACGAGTCATTTTAAGGGTATCATGAAGAAGACACTGATTCTAGATTTAGATAATACATTGGTATACGCTCATAAGGTCTCTTCTGTAGATTTCAGCATGGAATTGGACACTCCACATCATGAAGAGACCAGGCGTAGGTGAATTTCTGGGGAAGGTTTCAAAAGTATACGATATCGTGGTGTTTAATGCTGCAGAGGAGAAGTATGTCAATGGTTGACCATCTGGATCCTACTGGAAGGCTTGTGCCGAGGAGGCTACATGGTGGCAATTGCATTGTTCTAAAGGACGGGACGAAAGTCAAGAATCTTGACCATGTCGGGTTTCGGGATTTCAAGCGGGTGGTGGCACTAGATGACATTATTGACTTCTACCAAGGTCATCAAGACAGCGTGGTGGTGGCTCCAAAGTTTGAGGGGTCAAAGGATGACCACTTCTTGGCAGATGTATTGCGCTGTCAAAAGTGTGTGGATTTTACCAAAGTTACCCATTGCTGAAATATTGGACAATGTGTGGAGAAGCAAGGCAAATTGTATGTCCTAGATCCATTCGATGGTGAATGGGTTGTTTTTAACTGATTATTGTATTTTTTCTGCCAAAAGTGTAGTTTATGGAAATGAATCTTAGTGAACTTTTGAGCTCAGGATTTCCTACATATTTCGTGTAAAACAAAATTGTAAGCTCTTTTGCTTCAAAAGTGTATCATCCTAGTAATGAGCTCACAAACTTTTGCTTGACCGAGCCCAAAGTGATGAAAGAGATTGGAAAAAAAGAGCTACCTCAGTGGTACTTGATACACTAGGCAAACATGAAGGCGAAGAAGACTGGGAAGCCGACCAAGACACCCGCGACAGCACCCAAACGTCATGTCGTAGCCAAAGTAACTCTCCACAAACACCTTGACAGTCGTGCATCATGCGTTGGGTGTCGTGAGGCGCACAAGATCATTTGCATACTGGGATGCGATCCAGCCATACAAATCCAATAGTGATCCACATACTCAGCAAGAAAAGCACAAAGTGGAACGGAATGTCCAAGAAAAAGCAAAAAGCTGTTAACAATGAAGATGAATAGGACGATGTTATTGTCCCAAATTCACAATAGGATCTTAGGATTGAATCACTGCCCTACAAGTATATTCACATGTGTTTTTGTTTGCAGCAGAGAAACTGCGGTATGCTGGTATTGAAATTAAGCTGGTCACCTGAGTGATTATAATGGTTTTTAGCCGATCAAAACGGTTTTAATGTACAATGTTTAAATCGTGATTTATATTTGAATTTTAAATAAGAAAATTTTGTGAATATGGATTTTCTTTATATTTTTCTTTATACGTAAAATATCTAAGTATATTGTAAGATATTCTCTAATCAACAACTCACTTGCAGTCAGTGTTTATAAAGTTAATTCTCTTACTTATCACTACTAATGTAAAGTATTCACATAAAAAACAACTATGAAGTTTTTATTTTGCCTCATATCTAGCTGAGAAACTCTATATTCTGACAAACCAATGTAGACCTTAAAAATAACTCTAAAATTAACATCATTAAGCCCTCCACACTCTTCCGTTATCTACAGGGCACAAAATCCAGCTTTTGGACGTGTTTTAAGATTGATGTTGATGGTTATACACCAAAAACAATGGCTAGCATATTAACATTAATATTCAATACTATTCAAATGCCTCAATCTAAGCAAGCACCTTCATTATTTGTTATTCTTCACATTCACGTATGCTAAGAAGTCAATGGAATCTAACAATTGGTTTGGAAGAAACAAGAAACCTGGATCAATTCATCTCTCTCTCTCTCTCTCCATTTGACTCTTTCTTTCTATAATTTTGCAGACTCGTCAAAAAGGTACTCGGCATTCCTGTAGGAAAACGTTTCCCTGTAAAAAAAGGTCAACAGGTCAGAGATGCGAATATTCTCTCTACAAAAATCAACAATCCCGCCACTTTCTTCATCGCATCTCCCGAGAATCGGGATAGCTCTCCAGCTTCCACTTGATCTCTGCCCACTTGAGGTGAGATGCATGGATCCTACAAGAAGCCAGCCGTGGACACCACGCTGTTGCATCTCTCGTCAATGTGCTGTTTACCAATCCTGTTCCTTGAACCGACCCTGACTACAAGAATGTCGGAAGCCCTTGAGTTTCTCAGCAACCTTGATCGAGAACAACTCGGCCTGGCAGAAATGCAATGAACTGGCAACGAATTCATATTTCTGAATCGAAATTGGCATGCTGAAAAAGACGAAGACTACAAAGATGACAAAAAGGAGCGAGTAAATCTAAACCACTACAACGATCAGCTGCAAACAAAGCAGCCAAGCAGAGAATCAGAGTAACGAAAGAAACTCACCAAACAGATTGCCAGGCAGGATCGCAGAGGATGTCGTGCGCGGATGGACGCTGGTCGCGTCTTGCTGCGACCAGCTCCAACACCTTGGGCGCAATTGATGGGTGTTGGTACGCCCAGTCGGCTGGTAAAAAGCCATCCCGGACGTCAATCAATACCGACTCCCTTTCCTACACAGATTCACCAAACTAAGCAAGCACGTTGCACAAACTGCAGTCAAACCTGGTCCGGGGGACACCTCCAATGAAGTTCGAAGAGTATAACTCCAAGCGCAAGCATGTCAGTGTAGGTCGAGTTGCTCCGGCGCTGGGGAGAGGAGTAAACTGCTCTCCCCTTCTTGATATTTTCGGTCGTGAGCATGGACTCCTTATTTTTAGCTGTAAGCCAGCAAATGAGAGATGAAAGAGATGTTTCATTAGCCTACCAAGACCGAAATCTCCCAGCTTGATGCGTCCATCATCCGTGACGAAGATGTTGTGTGGTGCTATATCCCCATGAACACCCACGTTGTCGTGCGAGATGGGCCATACCATAAACCCAACATGATTTTATCGTTGAAAGTCCTCCCTTGCCTACATGCGCCACAGCTTGAAGAAGCTGCCTAAACGCATCTGCAGGTGGTGACTCACCGCCGAGGAGCACCGACTGGAGCGAGCGGCCACAAAACTCCATGACAATGTACACTTTCGACTTGCCCGGCTCGCCTTCCTCCTTCCACATGTCGAAGTATTTGACTATGTTGGGGTGTTCGCAGCGCTGGAACATCTCTCCCTCCTTGAAGACGAGCGCGACATCCTGGTCTCTGGACTTCGTTGCTGTGCGAACCTTGATGACTTTGATGGCGTAGATTTGTTCGTCCTCCTTGCTACGGCACTTGTATACTTTCCCGGACGCCCCCTGGCCAACACAAGCGAGCACTTCGTAGCTGCTGCAGAAGCGGCCTGGACAAGAGAGACAAGGGGCCACTCAGAAGCGAAAAGATGCCAAAGAGAGAAATTATTGTATCCACCTGCTGCTGCAACTGGAGTCTCCCCTCCCTTTTGGATCGATTCCACGATCCCGGTCACAACATTCGCCGAGAGCATCTTGAATCTCTCCAAGCGTTGCGCCATTGCGAGGAATTGCCGAACATATTCTGCAAGTCATGAATCAAACCAGCAAAGAGTCGTGTCAGCCAACAAAAGGAATTCTTCGTACCAGCGTCAGGAGCAGCCTGCAACGCGGATGCATCATGATCAGTTTCTCCTGCTCCTGCTTCAACGAGGATCTTCGTCAGACAAGTGCAGATGTTTCAAGTTTTGACCAACCTGATCGAGCTCGGTTAATCGGATCCAGTGGGCGGGTCCTTTCGAGCATGACGTCGGATCGCTTCTGAGTGTGTAGTTTCTTCGGACCAGCAGCTCTCTTCCTCTCCATGGTGGACTCTGGTCAGTGTTAACATTGTGAGTCGTTGCTGAAAGCACAAAAGAGATTGAGGAGTCGTTACTGCACTTATCCAACGGCTGGAGCCTAGAATGCGCACATCAGCTGTCCGTCAATGGATTCACAACAAACTTGTTACAATTGCATGCTCACCTCCTTCCGCCTCGCCAACAGTAGGCCGCAAACCAGCAGCGCACTCACCTCTGCCCTTGCCAGACGATCACGGCAGCCCTAGATTTGGAATCTAAGCTGCATTGAGGATCGACGCGCTCCTCCGGCTCCCTTGGGCTTTGCCAATAGTAGGGTACAAGAATACAAAAAGGCCACGTCGGATAGAGTTTAGGGCAGACGTGGCACCTTTGGTCACCTTTTGTGGCCCTTCTCCACGGAATACGAGTCATTTTTTAGGGTATCATGAAGAAGACACTCATTCTCGATCTAGACAATACACTGGTATACGCTCATAAGGATCTCGTCTCTTCTGTGAGTTTCAGCATGGAATTCGACGATGATGCACCACTCCACATCATGAAGAGACCAGGCGTAGATGAATTTCTGGGGAAGGTTTCAAAAGTGTACGATATCGTGGTGTTTAGTGCCGCCCAGGAGAAGTATGTCAACCTTGTGGTTGACCATCTGGATCCTACTGGGGGGCTTGTGTCGAGGAGGCTACATGGTGGCAATTGCGTTGTTCTAAAGGACGGGACGAAAGTCAAGAATCTTGACCATGTAGGGTTTCGGGATTTCAAGCGGGTGGTGGCACTGGATGACATTATTGACTTCTACCAAGGTCATCAAGAGAGCGTGGTGGTGGCTCCAAAGTTTGAGGGGTCAAAGGATGACCACTTCTTGGCAGATGTAACCCCGTTCCTTCTTGCGCTGTCAAAGTGTGTGGATTTTACCAAAGTTACCCATCGCTGGAATATTGGACAATGTGTGGAGAAGCAAGGCAAATTGTACGTCCTAGATCCATTCGATGATGAATGGGTTGTTTTTAACTGATTATTGTATTTTGTAGTAAATGTTATAATTTTTCTGCCAAAGTGTAGTTTATGCAAATGAATCTTAGTGAACTTTTGAGCTCAGGATTTCCTACATGTCTAAAACAAAATGGTAAAACAAGAAAAACAGCACACCAAAATTTCAAGGTCTTTTGCCAAGGAAATCCCCTTTACATTGAGAGCCCACAGCTTTGCAACACCCCATGAACACCAATAGAAGCACGTGCCCACCTCAAACAACAAGCGAGACTTCAAAAAGGACATCACTGATCCAACATTTGATGCCAGAGGATAAGATGCTTAGAAGACTGATTGCTTCTGAGTTCCTTTATGTCTGTTGTTTAGTGCCTATGTGAAGCTATTGACAAAAAATGTGATGATCCATATGAAGCTCTTCACAGGATCATGGAGAGAGAGAGTGTGTCTTTGCCATGACATCCAGCGAAGTAGCAAGAGGAGTGATCGCGGTGCCTCCTGCAGGCATCTCCACGCCAAATCGCGACTCTTCTGCGCCAATGTGGTGATTCCAAGTCCCTCCCGCGAGGGAAGCTCTTGCACCGCCGCCTGGCCGCCACCCTCGACCTACGCCACCACCCCTTGTTCAGCAATCTCCTCATCCTCATGTATGGCAAGTGCTCCAGCCTCCCGGACGCATGGTCCGTCTTCCACGATCTCGTCCACAAGAACGCCTTCTCCTGTAACATCATGATCTCGACGCTCTGCGCAAACGGCCAGAGCGCGCAAGCGATTCATCTCTTCCTCGCCCTCGCCAGCGATTCAGTCGTCCGCCCCACCCACGTCTCGTTCGTCGCCGCGAAAAGAGTGCTTGGATTGTTCTCGGAGTCACTGGGACTGGAAAGTGGTGCTCTGGAGGAAGCTTTTGGAGGAGAGAGGCATGCGATGAGGATGAACTACTATCCACCTTGTCCGGAGCCGGAGCTTACAATCTGACTGGACGCTCACGCGGATCCAAACGGTTTCACTATACTCCAGCAGGACACCAGGGTGAAAGATGGCCTCCAGATTGTACACTGTGGAGCGTGGGTGCCGATCAAACCTCTGCCTGGCGCCTTTGTTGTCAACATTGGAGATCAACTTCAGGTAAGCTTTCTTTCGATCGTCATAGTCGTGCATGCATGAGATTTCCAGGTTTTGATTGTGTGTTATTCAGATTCTTTCCAATGATGCGTACAAGAGTGTGGAGCACCGAGCAGTTGTCAACTCGGAGCGAACTCGAGTCTCCATTGCTTCATTCTATGGGCCAGCAGAAGATAGTCACATTGCTCTGCTGGCGCAGCTGGTCGCTGACGAAGCGCCTGCTTGCTTCAAAGATAGCGTCTATGGAAATTACCTTCAATCGTTCTACGCTTCAAAACTAGATGGCAAAGCAGCCATTGAGACTGTGAGGTATTAAACTTTGTCTGCGTCTCGTTTAGGTTATGGTCATCCCACTCATTTCCATCCCTCCCTTAGCCATACATCTGTGGGTTGTTGATGCAATAGCTAATGCAGAGGGTCTCAATCTTTCATACAGCCGCCTTGCTCTATTGATTTGATCCAACATAGAAAACTGGTGACATGCCAGAAAGAAAAGAAGTATAGAAGAATTTACATGTAACGAAACAAATCAAGGAATTCTTTTCTGCTTTCTTTCCTTCTGGCAAGTCAATAATTTTCAGCTAGATCGAACCAACAAAGCAAGGTGGGAGATGTCTGAAGTTCTTAGAAAGATTGAAATTGTTGGCGGAGGTGGAACTTAATGAAACGTACCACATGTTCTAATTGTCTTGCTCTCATTCGCTGAGCAGACTAGTATGAAGAAAGGATGACAAAAACCTCCTGTTGTTTACGAAGTTCTTGGTATTGTCATGTATGGCTCGCAAAAGCACAGAAAGCTTCAAGACTTGACCTTCCTGCTTGATTTCTTTAAAGCACTGCATGGCACAGACTACAAACAAAGATTTAAGACTGGTTTAAATTATGAGATCAAGATTTACCTTCAAAGTGCTTGCAAGAGCTACAATGCAGCCAACCACGGCCAACAGTAACTGCTTCTCGTCCGAAATAGAAGTTTCAGAAATAAACCATGCTAGGATGTTCAGGCTATGTACTTGTACAGGCGTAGTGCTATCTGGTATTAGTGTTAGTGACGACAAGTAAAACACTGAGCTTTCCAAAAGAAAAGAAACAGCATCGGAAGTATGCCCAAGGAGAATTAACAGTAAACTTCCCGGAAAGTTTTGCGAAAATAAGATAAATACTATCACGAACCTGCAATAGAGAAGATTAGTATTTCATCTCGATGGAATTTTATTATGTTGGAGTCCAAGAACGAGATGATCCTACACAATACAAGAAGTTTCCCCAGACGTAGATACTGGTCAGCACCGAACTGAGAAACATAATCAACCTAAATTATGCACAGATGAAAAAAAATTCAAGAGTATCAGTGTTAGTTGCGATTGCTGACACTCCTCACAAAGAAATGGAACGTATTTCTTTAATAACTGCTCTGGGTTTCCTAGCTGGTTAATTTCTTGCGTTGGAAGTCACGAAGGCTCAACATTTTGGAGTTGTCAGATATCATAGCTGCTTCTAGCATTAAATCAGTTAGAATGTGATCCTGCACTGCAATTTATAGTTCACGTCGGTATACCACACATCTTGAACAAAATAGCTCGGGAGATGCAACAGCGTGGTGTCCACGGCTGGCTTCTTGTAGGATCCATGCATCTCATCTCAAGTGGGCAGAGATCAAGTGGAAGCTGGAGAGCTATCCCAATTCTCGGGAGATGTGATGAAGAAAATGGCGGGATTGTTGATTTTTGTAGAGAGAATATCTGCACCTTTGTGAAACGTTTTCCTACAGGCCTTTCGAATCCACGGAACCTGGAAGTCAAAACAAGAGAGAGTAGCTTCAGAACATTTAAAAGCTCACCCCTGCAAGTTCTGTTGTGGTACAGAGTGAATGAGTTTCTTTTTGCCTATGGGAACCTCAAAGCCAATGCCAAGTACCTTTTTTGACGACTCTGCAAAATCATAGAAAGAAAGAAACAAATGAAGAAAGAGAGAGAGAGAGAGAGAGAGAGAGAGAGAGGAATTGATCCATCAATTTTATCTGTCTAGGTTTCTAGTTTCTTCCATACCTTGAGGAACCAATTGTTAAATTCCATTGAGTACTACTCCTCTTTTTAAATAATTTGTTGTGCTATTTAAAATATACTACTCCTCTTTTTAAATTTCTTTTGTGCTATCTAAAATATATCACAATGTGTGAGGGCCAAGTGTACAGTTACGATGCCATATACTAATATTAGCATAGTGGGATTTTGGTAGCCATCGGATTGGTTTTAATCTGGACCACTCACTCCTGTATATAAGCTAGGGTTTTTGGGCTAATTGATATGCACATTTCTGTATTTCCTTTCCATATTCTAAGCACTTACATTGGTGGAGGTGAGGGGCATATTTGATTGTTCCTAAGGAGTGCTTGGATTTGGGATTTTTGTTTAGATCTAGCTTTTGCATCGTTTAGATCTAGCTTTTTCCATTTCCTGTCTTTTGTTCTTTCTATTCAGGATTTTGGTTTAGATCTAGCTTTTTGCGTTATCTAGATCTACCATTTCCTTCTAGCTTTTTGTCATTTCTCTTCTTTTGCTCTTTCTTTTTCGTTCATCTTCATGGCAAATCAGCAATCTCCTCCTTTGACTCTAGAGCAGCAATTGGTACAATTGCTTGATGCTTTCCAACAATTACATTGTCTTCGCCAAAGGCCATCTGAGTTAGTGATGCAATTTGGCGTTCGTTTCCGAAGTCTTTTGCTTCATGCGGAGCCAAATATGTCGGAGCGGATCAAGCTAGGAATGTTGTGGCCAGCACTTCGTCAAGATCTTGTCGGCCTTATGCATGCACTTGCTCCTGCCACCCTTGACGATGCTCTTCGCTTGGCACAACGTTATGAGACGTTGCCTCTTCCACTTCTCGTTGCACGTCCTTCCGCTCCACTTCCTATGAGTGATGGTCCTGTTCCAATGGAGGTTGATGCTGCTGCTGCTCGAGTCCAAGGACAAGTGCGAGGACATGGTCGTGGCCGTGATGTTCGCTGCTGGGCGTGTGATGAAGTTGGTCATACTTATCGGCGTTGCCGTCGTTTTCCGGATTGGCGACCTCCATTTCCTAGGTGGAGACCTTGGCGTCAGCAACATCCCGTGGGTGCTGTTGCAGTGGAAGGTCTGGACACCGAGATGCATCCGGGAAACGAGGAGTCGCGCGAGTAACGGAGGGACCTTGCGCAAATAAATCAGTGACCCATCCATCTTTCTTTCGGGAGTATCATCAAGGGGTTCACTCGGCACCAGTTCATCCAGTGTTTACTTTCCAAGTTCGTTTTTATAACAAGAGGTCTCCTATTATTCTCTCCGTGTTGGTTGATACAGGTTCGAGTTTATCTTCTATTGCTCGACCTGTTGCCACACGTTGTCGTCTACACTTGCGTCGTGCGGCGGAACCAGTTTTCATTCTTTATGGCAACAGCCGTACACATGCATGTGCACGGGATGAGGTGGACCTGGTTGTGCGTGTGAGCGATCTTGAGCTTGAGTTGCAGTCGTTGCGGGTGGTGCCAAATCAAGCTTTTGACCTCATTCTTGATATGGATTGGTTGCAGCGCAATCATGCCAAGTGTGACTTTGAGGCTTCTCCCCTTGTCTTATACTTCCTTATGTTTCATCCATTCCTCTCACTTCCATACCTCTTCGTCCCTCTACTTCTACCTCTGCTTCCATTACTTTTGTTCCCCCACTCTTTCCTTTTGTGTTTCCATCTTGTTCTGCTTTTCCCTTTTCCGATCCCTCCGACGATCTTTGTGTTGCAGCAGTTGACCGGTTCATGAAGGAGTATTCTGATCTTTTTGAATTTGACCTATCGTCTGGGGCCAAGATTGCCACACGTCATCCGATTCCAACCGGGGATGCTCGTCCAATCAAGGTCTTGTTTGTCATCGGTCACCTAAGGAAATTAAGATTTTACGAGCAAACGTCAAGGAAATGCTGGAGAAGGGTGTTATTCGGAAGTCGCGGAGTCCTTGGGCATGTGAACCTCATCTTGTGACGAAGCCTGATGGGAGTATTCGTTTCTGCATCAACTATCGTCCGTTAAACGAAGTGACGATCCCAGATGTGTATCCTCTTCCTCATACTGCTGATTTCTTGGATCGTCTAGGGCGAAGTCGTTGGTTCACCAAGCTAGATCTTCCTTCTGGGTATTGGCAAGTACCGATGACTGAAGAAGATATTCCTAAGATTGCTTTTCGTACACCATTTGGTTTGTATGAGTTCTTGGTGATGCCGTTTGGTTTGAACAATGCTCTAGCAACTTTCCAGCGGATAATGGACGAGGTTCTTTGCGATATGCCGAAGGTGACTGCTGACTTCATTGATGATGTCTTGATCCACTCGGAGGGGACGTGGGAGGAGCACGTTCGTGATGTTTGTAAAGTGTTGGATCGGCTACACGACGTTGGTTTAAAGCTGAAGCGGTCAAAGTGCGTGTTTGGGTCCAAGGACACAACTTATCTTGGGTACCATATTTCTCGTGAGGGTTTGCAAGTTGATCCTGACAAACTTGTGGCTGTTCTAAAGTTCCCTACTCCGAAGTTTGTGAATGATGTGCAACGCTTTTTGGGTAAAGTGCAGTATCTCGGTTGTTTTGTGGATCATCTTTCTGATCGCACTACACCATTGCGAGCGTTGCTGAAGTCATCCACGTCATCTTTCATCTGGTCTTCAGATTGTGAGCGGGTGTTTGTGGATCTCAAAGAGCTATTGACAACTCCTCCAGTTTTGGCGTATCTTGACTACACTCGACCTTTTATTTTGCGCGTGGATGCTTCTGACATTGGTCTTGGAGGTGTGTTGATGCAAGAGAGCTCGAGTGTGCCTGGTTAGGGCCAT